TTTCAGTTCCTTTACACAACTTGATGTAAAGTAGGTGAACAAAATTACTGTAGTTATCTTCATATTGGTACACACACTTCTGGAACGCCTTATTTTGTCTGTGTCTTAATAACTGTATCTTAAAAAATTATCCTGTTTCAGAATCACCCACTTGACTAGAACAATAGTTCTCAAACAGTTTTTTTTATGGCCCACTTTCGTTGCACAGAAATTCCGTGGCCCACTAACTTTTTTATGCAAGGGAATCATCCACTTAGTAGCAGAAAATAGCATCATCTACTGCGATCAAAATTAAATAATTTATCAATCAATAACTCTAGCAATTTTTAATAGGTTTTGCGGCCCACCCGAAAATGTTTCTGTGGCACAGAAGTGGGGCATGGCCCACAGGTTGAAACCCGATGGACTAGAATAAAACTATGCAAACACATATTAAATATGCAATCTAAATATTTTATTTTCAGAGTCCTAGCCCTCGGTGGAAATCCAGGAATTGAAATCGGTGACGAAATCTGCAGTTTATGGGATTTAAAGAAACTAGGGCTCAATGATTGTGAGCTTGAAGAAATACCAAAGTCTGTATTCAGTTTGATTAAGCTGACTCATCTTCATTTGGATAATAATTACATTTGGTGAGTCCTATTCTCATGAATTATTATATTATGAATATTATGAATATTCGTTAGATACATTCTTGCCTGCCTTACTTCGAATATTTACATTTATTTCATTATTTACGTTCCATTCACATATTTCCAACAGGTTTGTTGGAAATAACATACCTTCACCTCACAATCTGTTATTTGTAGCTTATTGTTTGTTTGCTAGTTATTTTTTAGGGTGGGTGCGAGACTTGACAAATACTAAAAAGGGGGCGCCGCTTAAAAATTTTGAGTTCCACTGCTCTAGCCATTCAGCTATTATGTTTTTAAAATATTTGAAATCAATACAGCTTGGCATATAGCTGGGTTCTTCACCCTGTGTCAAGATAGTTTCTAGAAGTATTTGCCAAAAACTCCACTCGCTCCACTCGCAAAGTCCACTCGCTCAAAGGTGAAAGAGACTAATCTCTGAGCAAAGATACCTGCTGACATGACCATGGAAAAAATAAACACTTATATATCTCTCAGGTCGCCATTAGTCAGTTTCAAAATCTTATGTCAATTGTCTGCCCATTTTTAATTAAAAATATGTTTTAAATTACCTATTTGTGATCAATTAGAACACAATTCACAAGTAATACAGGGTGTCCATGAAGTCTCTTTACAATTTTATTTTTGTTATGAAGCTAGTTTTCAATATATCCTAACCAGGTTTGTTGTTTTTCAATCAGTAATTGTTCAAGTATTTTTACTCATTTAATTCACCTGTGAAGGCCGAAACAATATATTGATGAATTCCCTTTGCATTTTTGAAAAATTTCAAGACTTCATGGACACCCTATATATTTAATGACTCGGTTTTTATAAATGTTCTCCATTTTTAGCCAAATCAATCAAGAAATTGTACAACTAACGGACTTGGAAGAACTAACAGTGACTGGAAACCCTGGAATAACATTTCCAAAACTATTAAGTCAGTGCGACACAATACGCTGCATTATCGTGGACTCAGGAAAAGATTTGTCCCGCGTTTCTGGAACTTTAAAAAGCAGAATGCGACAAATGCCAACTGCTACAAGTCCTGTGAAGGAGCCAGCCCCGAAACCAAGGAACATGTCTTACTCTTGATGAAGGAAAGCAAAAAAGGAAAAAAGTAACACACTGTTAGCTCTGTGTATCAGATCTAAAGTACAGCATAAATTCAAAAAGATGAGCGGCTGAGATATGCAACATCTGGGACGGAGGACCTCAAGGGGGGTGAAGTCCAATGAGAGTAAGAACTACTGAGCTAGGCATTTGAAAAAGATGAACCAACAAATTATATGAGATGACATTACTAGGCAGATGAGATTTTTATAATTCTTTTTAATAAAATTCTCTCTAACAGACATAGTTTGCAGACCCAACATGCCAAGTTATTTCTCTCAATTAACACGGTTTATTACCCAAAACTCAACAAACAAAGGCTTCCAATCTAGAGAAAGGGGTCTGATTAAGTAATGGTTACCGATACTTATATTTTGTGCAAAATCTCGAAGAAGTTTCAATCTTGGTCATTGGTGACCAAAAACCTCCATATTTGTTCAACATATTGTTTTATTATTTTTTTTAACCACTGTGTTTATTACTGTTTTAAGTAATAATATCATTTTTTGAAATTAAAATTGACAAAAGTTATTTTTTATTTTCAAAGTGAGTGAGCCAATCTACTGTCAGTGTACCAACCAGTCGAAAATTTGGAGTACTCCCGAAGTATGTGTTAAGGGTAGGGTTAGGCCCTAATTTGATTTTGATTTTCCTTATTTTAGTTCTATTATGAGTTCAGGGACTGTTTGTGTTCGCCAAGTGAACATACCCCCTGACTATAGATTTCAGTCCCTTTACACAACATGATGTAAAATAGACATACAAAAACAGTTACCTCTATATTGGTCATACACTTCTGGAGCGCCTTATTTTATGTTCATAGTGAGTTCTCACAAGTTCACTGTCGGTACCAACGAGACAAAAATAATTTGGCGCCACCATAGCGGGAGGTCTATCAAACTAGGCTAGGGTTAGGCCCAAATTTTATTCCGATTTTCCTTATTCTAGTTTTATTACAAGTTCGGGGACTGTATGTGTTAGCCAAGTGTATATACCTCCTGCCCATAGGCTTCAGTGCCTTTACACAACTTGATGTAAAGTGGGCGAACAAAGTTAGTTTCCTCCATATTGGTACACACACTTCTGAAGCGCCGATTTTATACAGTATGACTTATGACCTTGTCACACAGTTCACTGATATTGGTTGATTAATCAATTTATGGCGGAATTTGAATTACATCGAAGAAATTGTTTTGTTGCTTTTCTAACATGTTTTATGTTTAATATATAGTTTTATAATCAACTAGGTCACTTTTTCTGATGTACCTTGTTTCTAATAATACACATGTGCATTTTGGCAAACAATTCCCATGAAAATTAACAGTTTCTGCACATTATACGCATAGCTAATTATGCTCTCCAACGTTACCGGCATTTTATTTTTATATAAGCCTTCTCAGGAAGACTTTGTATTAACTGTATCACTAGATCAAGGCATCTCCAAAAAAATACAGTGGTGTTCATGCATTTAGGTATTTTTATAACACATTTGCTTTTAAGATACCATCCTCGCATATAAGTCGAATCTGAAACTCAATAAAAAAGGGGCGGAACTAAAGGGTCACACTAAAAATTCGGATCATAATTTTTATAAATTTCACTGTTTCAGGGGGTCGACTTGTATGTGAGATCAAGGATATATGCAAGGATATGTGGTATCTTAAAAGCAAATGTGTTAAATAGAATAATTTGGGTCGAAATAAATTGTAACAAATATTTTTTGTACTACTCAAATAATTTATATTAAAATTCAATGATCATATAGTTGAAATGTTTTTCCACAACTTTAAACAAATTTTTTATACACCTCAGAAAATGTATAATAACCTCAATTAAAAAAATAAATGATTTATTTTGGACCACATATTGTGCAAAATATCACCTTTTTTCTAGTTATGACACATTCTGAAACACTTGAGCATCATTGTACATCATTGATTCCCATAAACCAGTGATTCCCGGCCTTTTATGGCACGTGGCCCTTTTCCGGAGACTTTCAGCACTTATGGCCCCCCAGTTTATCATTCCAGTGGGTTGAAACCCCCTGTGACATAACCTTATTCAGCAAGAAAATTAGGAAGAAAGGGAGGTTTTCTTGTAAGTGAAAAGTAAAATCAGTTTCGCGCCTGGCATTGTGGCCTCCGCAGTGTGCCACAAGTCCCTTTGGAACCATCGCTATATACAAATCCAGAAGCATCAGCAATTAGTAGTAGTACATCACCCGTCCCTCAGTCCCACTTGCCTATAACCGGTTTGCAAAACAAACTGATCTCAAAATGCTGACTTTACTTGCTTTCACGTTTACAATACAAAAAGCAATTGGGTCTGATATGTTTGCCAATATTGATGAAGTTAAGTGAACCATATAAGGTAATCGAAATTTGACCTGACATGCCTGAACCAATTCATTTTCTAAACCTTTTCCAGTTATCCCCCCCCCCCCCCCCTCCCTCCCTCGTCAATATATGAATACTCACACTTACTGATAAAAAAAAAAGGATTTTGTTCGGGGGGCCTATTCATCTTTATCAGGACATTCATAACCAAACCCTTTTTGGCTAATATATACGATTTGCTAAAAAAATGAGTCTTCTCATTATTAGTGGTGGGGACAGGGGTTGGTTATAACTGTAAAAAGTCCCATTTTCTCATGTAACTCCCGAATTCCTCTTCATTTTATTATGTTTTTAAATATTGATCGTGTTATATTTTTATCTCGTTATTCTCAAAAAGTTTCGCTTTTTCTTTATTTTTTTGTTCCTATTTAAATTTATTACTGCAGTTCATTATTTTTCAATTATTTTTCTCAAAGACTTTTTGTCAAAGACAATAAAGATTTTCATGACAGAATAATGAGTATTAATTGTTATGCTGGGTCATGGACAGTCTAATGAAAAGTTCAATTTAACTGACATTAAAAATATGATTTAAAATAAAGAGTCCATCGGTATATTAATTAAGCTTTTGAAGCTATCTGCCTGGAGTGCATTAGAAACGCACAATTTCGTAAGACGCCAAATGAAAAGAGGAAAAAGGCAACTCAATAAATCCCATTCCAATACCACCTGTTTTACCATTCTAATGTCCATTTATAAGAAAAAGAGTCATATGGATAAAGTGACACCAAGTTTCTACACTCCAGGAAAACGAAATCCTCAAACTTTCCAATTCTTTCAGCGGCCAACCCTAGTCCATCCACAATACTTGAGCTGTAAAGAAAACTCATGCCTACAAAAACAAAAAATAACTCACTCTTTTCGCTTCCTCTGATAGCAATTTTGAATCAGTGGAGAATGCAGCTCCTCTTGCTGGATGAGGAACAGACTGAGCTCTTCCCAACAACCCAACATGATGATGATGTCCAGATGGAGAAGGATTCTGAAGATGTTGGAACTCTTCTCTCATGTAGAGAATCTCCTCTTGCAATTCCTCAATGATGACTTTCTGTTCGATTAATTTCGCCCCCTGTGAATAAAATGTTTGTTATGTAGCTTGCAAAATAAAATACTCCAAACATAGCACAAAAAAAACAAAGCGCTAAAACAGCATTTTGCAGTTTCGCTTTACGAAAACTCGCCGGCGCTGAGCTTAACTAAAGGGTCCAGTTAAAAACCAAACGAGAATATCGCTCAGAGACCAAAGACTTATCGATCGAAAGTTAGGGGATCCCCCAAAACAACGCTCTTACTCCATAGTGACACCTTGTGTCCCATCACTAATTAATTAATAACTCGCTAAATATACGACATAATTCGCCCAAAATCAATAGGCTTCTGGTCCAAGATATGATGAATGCACATGCAAAATCTGGAGTTTTCGTGAGATATCGTGTGCATCTAACAGATACAGACAAATACCTATCAACATACTTACCGATTAAATCGATAAGTAACTAGGTTTTTCATTGGGAAGCAGAGAAATACAAATTTTGGAGTCTTCAAAAAGGGGCAACGTATCACGAAAGTTTGAGAATCACTGGTTGTTAAGGCAGGAGAGTGCAAAATTTTTTGTCGAAGGGCCACATAACAGACTTCGGGCATCTAGCTGGACCACACAAAAAATTTAGCGGAAAACGTGACAGAAGAGAACGTGGCTATATTTTAGCCTTACAGTAATGTATGCACCGGGCAAAAAAAGACAAAAACTTTATCGCAGAGAAAAGAGCAAAAAATATCACCTATTTTTATCCATGTGAGCGCCTTTTTAAACATTAACTGCCGAATTCAAATTTTATGCTTGATGGGAAAATTCTGAGTGATGACAAGGGCCACACTAAAAGGCTTGTCGGGCCAGGTGATGGGCCATTGCAGACTCCAGGGCATTTTAAACCATTGAATATAAATTGTTCATCAAACCTGCTGTTCTCTTATCTCTTCAGCCATTTGAAGAGTTTCCTCTCTATCTCTGATTTCATCTTGGACTTCAGATAATGCTTTACCAAGTTGATCAATCTGTTAAAATGAGGATAAGATAAAACAAGAATGAAAACATCATAAAAAGAAGATAAAGTTAAATGAATACAATCATCTTATCAGATGAGATAATGCTTTACCAAGTTGCTCAATCTGTGAAAAAAAAGGTAATTATCTTATCAGAAGAAGATACAATCAAACAAAGATAAACATCTTATTCAACAGAGACAATATCAAACAAAGAAGATAAGCCCAAGTACAGATAACCATTTTATGAAAAGCTGATAAGACCAAAGTGACTGAACATAGATACACATATTATCAAAAGAGGATAAGATCAAACTGGAATTGGGATAGGATTTACATATTTATCCCGGGGTAGAGGAAAGCCGATAAATCATATGGCAAATCGCGGTGTCTTGTGCTGTTTCCAGTTCATGTTGTCGGGTATGGGATTAGTTAGCCAGTTATTTGTTTTCAGATGCATGGACTTGAGAGTAGCGAAAGTCGTAACCGACCCCATGGCGGCGAGGAGTCCAGTAGTTCTCTGGCACAAAATTATCCCAGCATGGGATTCGAACCACGCAGGGTAATCAGATATGCGGTATTCCAAACGCTTATCCTAATTCAGATTTTTATAGAACAGAAGTCAAGGTAAAAAAAATTTACAAAACGAAAGAGTCAGCATTCTCAATAAATTCCATCCCAGAAATGAGTTCTCTTGTTTTTAGAAAGAAATGAGTCATTTAGAATTCACTAAGGTTAGGAACCCAGGATTTCCTGGGCAAGAAAAATTGTTGAAGACTCATTGAATGCTCCTCTCCACGGAAATCTTAGTAAAAGGCGAAAGATTTATGCGTGTAATGAAGAGAAACCAGAGTATTAATGATTGAAAACATACAAAATTATATACCCAATTTAAATAACCTAAACGTTTGTGGTGTAAGTAGATAATAATAAAATAAATAAAGAACATCCCAGATTTGCTTTTTTCTTTTTGTTCTCTCACTCTTTGCTCATAATAGAAAAAGTGAGAGAATGAGGTAGTGCAAATAAAAAAAAGAGAGAGAAAATATTGCCATGCATGAGTTCTTTTAAGAGAGAAGCACCTTTCTTTACTCTTTGCAACTGATGACATTTTGCCAGCCATTTTAACATCAAGTCATTACTTATCATAACTAATAACCCATTTCAAACAACACTGTTTTTTTTTCTACTTTCAAAGGGTGTGGGATTTGTGAAATTAGATCTGTATGTAATGCAGGTAATGATCGCAACAAATCTGTGTTAAATAGCATATAAAGACATACAGGGTTGAGGGTAATTGTCATGAATTTTCAAGGTGGGGGAATTTTCAAAATTTCTAGTCGACTGTAACAGCTAGCAGGTTCATAGGGTAAAATGGTTTTCAAGAGTCATGAGGGTTTAAAAAGCGCTTGAAGCTTTGAAAAATTGCTATCTATGATACAGAAAATGATATTTTTTTAAATTCAAGAAGGGGGGTTTCAACCCTGAAACTCGCCCTGGCTATGCCCCTTGCAGAGTGGCCAAAAAACAAAACCCAGGTCATTTGAAGCTAGCACGAGTTTTGTGTAAAGCGTCCTTGATTATTGAAACTTTTCGATACAATCAAACACAAATAGTTAGATCTCATTCACAGTGGAAATGCTTGTTAAACCCACCTGGGCGTCTTTAGCTGCAAAAACCTTATCATCAGATTCCAGAGTTCTTCTATACTCTTCTAGTTCCTGTTGTATCCGCTCATCTCGAGACATAGAAGCAGAGAAACTTGCGTTGAGATTTTGTTTGGAGAAAGCTGGGAGTTGAAATGAGATAATAATGAGGTAACTGAACTAATAAACAAATGGGCATGATGGCCCTGGGCAGGGTTTATCAGGCTCAGTCCATGGCCATGGTGGAGTTTTCTTGTTGGCTTTTCCAATATTAAAATGTTACGATTAAAATAACGCGCTATAAAATCGAAAGCAAAGGTACAGGAACTGAAGTCAGGGTAAAACAGTTACAAAAAGGAAGACTTAAGTCAGCATTCCAGAGATAAATTCCGTCAAAGATATTGGAAAAATCTAGCAATCCTCTCACATCTGGCAATTGCTCAAATATAATAGCCAGCTTCATGAGGGGTCGAGGGTTCAGTTTGAGGAACCCTGAACTAGGAAGAAAAAAGCAGTATTAAGACTCAGAGAAACAGCTCTCTTTGCTCATGAGACCCAGAGACCCAGCTCCCTTTGCTCATGAGACCCAGAGAACCAGCTCCCTTTGCTCATGAGACCCAGAGAACCAGCTCTCTTTGCTCATGAGACCCAGAGAACCAGCTCCCTTTGCTCATGAGACCCAGAGAACCAGCTCCATTTGCTCATGAGACCCAGAGAACCAGCTCCCTTTGCTCATGAGACCCAGAGAACCAGCTCTCTTTGCTCATGAGACCCAGAGAACCAACTCCCTTTGCTCATGAGACCCAGAGAACCAGCTCCATTTGCTCATGAGACCCAGAGAAACAGCTCTCTTTGCTCATGAGACCCAGAGACCCAGCTCCCTTTGCTCATGAGACCCAGAGAACCAGCTCCCTTTGCTCATGAGACCCAGAGAACCAGCTCTCTTTGCTCATGAGACCCAGAGAACCAGCTCCATTTGCTCATGAGACCCAGAGAAACAGCTCTCTTTGCTCATGAGACCCAGAGACCCAGCTCCCTTTGCTCATGAGACCCAGAGAACCAGCTCCCTTTGCTCATGAGACCCAGAGAACCAGCTCTCTTTGCTCATGAGACCCAGAGAACCAGCTCCCTTTGCTCATGAGACCCAGAGAACCAGCTCCATTTGCTCATGAGACCCAGAGAAACAGCTCTCTTTGCTCATGAGACCCAGAGAACCAGCTCCCTTTGCTCATGAGACCCAGAGAACCAGCTCCCTTTGCTCATGAGACCCAGAGAACCAGCTCTCTTTGCTCATGAGACCCAGAGAACCAGCTTCCTTTGCTCATGAGACCCAGAGAACCAGCTCCCTTTGCTCATGAGACCCAGAGAAAGAGCTCCCTTTGCTCGTGAGACCTAGAGAACCAGCTCCCTTTGCTCATGAGACCCAGATAACCAGCTCTCTTTGCTCATGAGACCCAGAGAACCAGCTCTTTTGCTCATGAGACCCAGAGAACCAGCTCTCTTTGCTCATGAGACCTAGAGAACCAGCTCCCTTTGCTCATGAGACCCAGATAACCAGCTCTCTTTGATCATGAGACCCAGAGAACCAGCTCTTTGCTCATGAGACCCAGATAACCAGCTCTCTTTGCTCATGAGACCTAGAGAACCAGCTCCCTTTGCTCATGAGACCCAGATAACCAGCTCTCTTTGCTCATGAGACCTAGAGAACCAGCTCCCTTTGCTCATGAGACCCAGATAACCAGCTCTCTTTGCTCATGAGACCCAGATAACCAGCTCTCTTTGATCATGAGACCTAGATAACCAGCTCTCTTTGCTCATGAGACCTAGAGAACCAGCTCCCTTTGCTCATGAGACCCAGATAACCAGATCTCTTTGCTCGTGAGACCTCTAGAACCAGCTCCCTTTGCTCATGAGACCCAGAGAACCAGCTCCCTTTGCTCATGAGACCCAGATAACCAGATCTCTTTGCTCATGAGACCTCGAGAACCAGCTCCCTTTGCTCATGAGACCCAGAGAACCAGCTCCATTTGCTCATGAGACCCAGAGAACCAGCTCCCTTTGCTCATGAGACCCAGAGAACCAGCTCCCTTTGCTCATGAGACCCAGAGAACCAGATCCCTTTGCTCATGAGACCCAGAGAACCAGCTCCCTAAGGGGCCCCGAGAGTTCATTTTGAGGGGGATATCAAAAAAACAGTAATCAAGACTTACCCAGGCCATTCTTTGAGACAGACTCCAACCACTTCTTAATATTACTACTGTGTGTTTTATTGACTTGTTTTCCAGCACAAACTAATTTGAAGTGCTTCGCTGCTTCTTCTATGTGTTTCTTGTATAATCTACAGTGGGTTTGCAACTCTTCGACTTCTAGTTCAAGCATCTGAAATAGAATTGTTGATATTTTGATGAAAAATAACATTCAGCAGAAAACTTGGGGTATTTCTAGCAGACCAGACAGCGGGGCAGGGCCGTACCCAGGATACTGTCCCAAACCCCCCTTTTGAAATGAATAAAAGTAATTTTCTGCATCATATATCATTGCGGTGTTCCGCAAAAACTTCAGAACTCTTGCCGTAATCAATATTTCAAATTTGAAGTATGCGATTAGAGTACTTTGCAGTAATGTTGCTATTTATGGCAAAATTAACTTATCTCAACTTATCTTGTTAATCTGGATTAAATACAAGATTGGAGCAAAAACATTTGCATAAGTTTGTAAGCAACATATGTACCAGGGGTGTATCCAGGAGTTCAGGAAGGCTTCACAAATTTCCAATTGCCAAGTTAGACCATAACAGCTAGGGCAGGGGTTCCCAAACTAGGGTTCGCGGACCTTTTGGGATCTGTGAAGCACTTTCGGAGGGTCCGCAAAAAAAATCTGTTATATGGCTCATAGTTTGATAATGCAAAAATCAAGCGCTTAAATTTGCAAATAAACATTTTCGATCACGCTGCCCAATTATGATGTCACAGAGCTGTGAGCCTGTGATATCACAGAGAGAGTTCAATTGATGCCATTACAAGTTGATGACTGCAGAGATGTAGCTGACGGTGCCTTTCTGCACACTTGTTGGTTTTTCACTATACCGTACGGCGCATTTATTTTTTTGTTTTGATCTTTAAATGTTTTATTTTAGTGCACCGAAGGCCGCGAATCATTACAAAAATTGCAAGAGGTCCGTCATAGAATTTTTTAAAAAAAGTTTGGGAACCACTGAGCTAGCAGGTAGGTAGCGGCGAAATGTGGGTTTTCAGGTCTTGAAAGGGTGCTCCCGAAGTATGCGAACCAAGATGGCGGACATCGGAACGTAACATGGGTAACAGGTTAGGTTAGGCGATTATTTTTTTCCAATTTTCCTTATTTTAGTCCTATTATCAGTTCGAAGACTAGCAAGAGCCTCCCGTAGTATTATACCTAAAATTATGGGCCTAAACCCTAACCTAGTACACATATTACATTCCGATGTCCGCCATCTTGGTTCGCATACTTCGGGAGCCCCCTTGAAAGCGTTTCAAGTAACAAGAAATTGCTACGTATGATACAGAAAAATGCTTTTTCCGACCCACACAACCACCCCATAATCTGACCAATACTGACAATGTAGTACTATATCATCAAAATAGCTGGATGGAGAAAAAATTTCTTTTTCAATAAATTGGATATGCTATGCCAAATCCCAAGACAGTTTCCACTGTAATCATATTAGAATTGAATTTCTATGATTTCTGGAAAGCTGAATATTCTACCTTTTGTTTTTGCATTGCAATCTCTCTTGTTGTTGGTCTGCTCTGTAACTGTTGTTTAATTCTTCAATTTCATCTTTGAAGGTCTTCAATCAAAATCTATAAAAAGTAAATATAAATATATAGTGAAAATAATTGGACACGGAAATCTTATATGTATCGATTTGCTAAATTTTTTGGAGTTACAGAAAATATGTGCACCAAGATGCCACACAACCTGAACATAGTAGGTGAACCAGGTTAGGGTTATCAGGTTGTGCGCCATCTTGGTGCACATACTTCTGAAGCGCCCATCTTTTTTACAGACAATTTATCAATATATTCCAAATTTTCACTAGGATAAATATGAAGTTATCTTTAATTGCAACAAATAATAATCTTTTTGCACATATTTTGACACCCCCTGGCATTCAGTCAGGATAGTCTGCCATCTTTTCGCTAAACCCTGTGCTTAGCTATAGCCTTAATGCAATTCAAGAGTCCTGCTGTATGTTAGTGAGCAGCAGGACTCTCTTGAAGGCGTAACCTCTACTGATAGTTATCGAATATGCTCTTTTTACCGCCCAATCTTGATTAAGGGCCTGTTTGAATAGCCGCCCGTGTGAACAGGACATAAAAATAAATAAGGGCCGGTGCTTGAATACCCGCCCGATGTAAAAGCTGATTTTCAGTGGTAGAGAACAATAGAAATAAGAAGCGCTCTTGTCACAACGCTGTTGAATTTTAAGCGCTGGTAGATAACACTCACGCCTTGAGCCGTCCAATTACATAACAGATAGCATTGATTACGTAACACCGTGGTTCTCAAACTGGGTGTCGCGACGCCCAAGTGCGTTGTTTCAATATTGATAGGGTGTCGCAAAACTTTTCTTTATTTGCAGATTTGTACCTGCGGTGCGTAGAAAAAGTCAACATTTTCGTTATTCTCATTTAAAGCATACTTGAGAACTGGAAATGACAATATCAAATATTTTTTTCAAAGATATCGTAATTTTTGTGTATAATTTTACTTTAAAAAAACAAGCGCCGTGCTTGAATAAGGGCCGGTTTGAATAAGGGCCCAGTTAGTGAGTTTGGTTAAAAAAATATGGGCCCGGGCTACAAAACAAGCAAATACGGTATATTGCTTTTTTTGTTGACTTTTTACCATTAATTACTGCGAATAAACTAACTGACAAAAACCTGTTGAAACAAAACTAGGTTTTTGGTATAGAAAAACAGGCGGCCACAGAGTGTTGAAAGTCTTTGAAAGGGGGCCGTGAAAAATGTAACTTCGAGAACTGCTGCACTTGCCCATCACAACATAAAGAAAAACGCTTTGCGGACTTCCCTGCCGGCACCCACCAAAACTATCACACATGGGCCTCGGGCCTCTGGATTTTTTATTGGGTTTCACTCCACCAAAAAATTGAAATGAACTGCCCTAGGCCAGGGCTGCGCAACTATTTTCACCAAAAGTCCGTTTAGAAAACTTCAAAATTACTGGGGTCGGACATTACAGAAAATTTATTTCATTAAATAAACGAGCTTCAAATGCAATATGAATGGCTCGCAATTATGGACACAAATGTCGCACATCTGTAGCTGTGTATTTAAATTCAATCAAAATCATCTAAAACTATAACATGATGCTTGTGCTGCCAAAATAAACAAGCAGACGCGGTCCAAATTGAATGGTGGAAAGGTCCGCCAGTTGAGTAGCCCTGCCCTAGAAACCACTGCCCACAGAAATCCGCTCTTCACACTTCACTGTGAACACCCACCTGTTGAGGATCTCTGTTTACCACTGGTTTATTGGTGATATTCTTGGCACGATTCGCATATTTCAAAGCGTTCAATGTTTCATCAAAACTTGTTGAAGACGGACTTATGCAGGTGATCATGACTGTGCGAGCGTTCCCTCCAAGTGAGTCTTTCAGGACTCTGGAAATACAAAGGGTTGAAACTGATTTGGGTGGCAAAACAAGTTTTTCATTATTTCAAACATTAAAAATTCTCGTCCTTCCCAAATTGTAGCTCTTCACATACCACTTTAAGGACTCTGGAAATAAATGGACATGAATTACAAATCGAGATCAACTCAAATCTTATGCCCATTCACAGAACTGAAAATTCTTTATTACTGCGCCACAAGAAATACAAAGAAAATACAAAAGTATCTTGGTTATGGCTTCCTACGGCATCCAAATTCATGTGTATAAGTTTAAAAACTCGAATTTGATTACCTCCAAAAATGCTAAAATCCACCAGCTGTAGAAGACATTTGACTTCCATGATAGAAATATGGTAGAATTTTAATTTACCTTGTAATCTTTGAGTCCCTGTAAGGCACGTGTCCAATTTTCTTTTTCTTCGGATCACTCAAAGCACTGATAACATTTCCCAAAGCAAGAAGCCCAGTGTTGATTTGAACTGACTCTTTGAACCTATGAAACAACAAATGTGATAGATACATAAATAAGGATGAAAATTTGGAGTTGGATAAGATGTTTAACATTGAAAACGCTCTTTAAATACTAATAAAGTTAAAACATACAGTATACATATAATTCATTTAAAGCGTAAATTCTAGATATATCAGTAGTAAATCTGTATAGATGATATATATAGATGATTTATATATAGAATTGCTAGTATCACATGATACTGAAGCAAGAAATGTATAAAAACTAATTCACTTAAGGTCTCCTTTGTGAACTGTTTTGAGAATTAAAACTACAATTTTATTTCAATTTTTGCAAAATTATCTATTTTCCTGTTATGAAACTGCCTTAAAATATTAGATATTAAAACATTTTTGATAAACCCCACCTAATGCAAAGCGCGTAATAAATTCGTTAGGCAATGTCGCACCAGAAAGATCCAGGTCTTGTAAAGATTCTTGTTCAAAGCAAAAAGCGCCAAACGAAAAAATATTAACACTATAACAAACCTCTCTCCAGTATTCCCAGTTCGATTAGCTCTTTCTGAGCCAGCGAGGTCGACGAAATGAAACTTAGCTGACATTACATTCTGTATTTTCTCATCATCAAGATCATCCGAATCCATCAATCCATTCATGCTATTATTACTGTTGTTTGTGTTCAAATTTTTAGGCCTCGGTGTGCATGGCCATGTCTGGAAATGATGTAAAGAAATGCATAAATCTTGAATCAGAAAAGTGGTAGGGTGGGATTGGATTTACATATTTATCTCGAGAGATAGGAAAGCCGATAAAACGGCTCAATCATATAGTGAACCACGGCCTCTGGTCCGGTCACCAGTCCATGTCGAGTATGATTAGTTAGCCAGTTATATGTTTTCCGAGGCATGGACTTGATGGTGGAGGAAGCTGTAAACCAGTGGTTGGCAACCTTTTTTCAGTGACGGACCGGTGAAGCATGACCAAAATTTTGGCGGACCACTTTTATACAAACGAACTAATTACCTTTGTTTTTGAATGTATTGTCAACATAAATTTTCTAACGCATATAATTTATTACATTAGATTAGTAGCTGCGTTAGAAAATTTATGTTGACAATACATTCAAAAACAAAGATACTATTCACGTAACGTATTTCTTATGTTTGGCCTACTTCGATCTTTCGTTTTTGTGTCACCTTTCTGCGGACCAGTAGTGACTTTTCCGCGGACCGGTAGTGGGCCGCAGCCCGGTGGTTGCCGACCACTGCTGTAAACGACCAGCGGTTACAATAACAGGGGACATGTGATGAACTATCAGTTATTGGCCTCATATTTTTTAAAACGCCGAACCCCCATGTGACCTGTGTGGGGGAGTTCAAGAGTCACCTCCTCAAGAGGGCTGGGGATCCAGAGCTGAAGCCAATCTCACCAAAATAGATGGAGCTGAAAGCCTGAAACTGTAGGTACCAGAAATTTTAGCGATTCCAGCTGCTTATAAAATCTATCTCTTTCAACTCCAATATTAATTAACTGTTACACAAGACGCAGAGCAGCCCACAATTTAAAATTCCAGAAAACCCATGTACACTAAACTACAATGATAATAACTTTCCTTCCAATCTCTTGCTTTGTAATAAAAACATTCATTCTACCTACATAACCCAAGGCTATTTGAACCATGGCAGCCATAAAAGCAGGCAGTGGGCGAACAAGAGTACAAAAAGGAAAATATTAGCTACAGATGTTAAATTATTTATTATTGTTCATAACGGTATTTTGAATGCGCATGAAATATGCATGTTAGGGTGAATGCAAATTTCATTTTGCTCGTTGGGTGTAATGGTTTATAGAGAAATGTAGAAAAATAGGTAAAATTGGGTAAGCAAATGCATTGTTAAAAATATAGTGAACCATACTGAACCTACCTGTATCATATGAATAGTAAATATTGCATGAGATCTGCTTGATAACTCATTCATCTGTGTCGCTCCCGTGTGACGAACTGCGCTGCCCTTCTGAAGTAAGCTCATGACTTCGTCAGCTGTGGAGCAATTCTCCTCTCTTGCGCCGATTATCACTGAAATATATATTGAAGATGAAATAGCAACAAGAGAAAAATATTACGCAGTTCAAGGGTCTTGATGCACATTAACACAAATGAATCTCTGTAACGTTTCATCTGACAGAGGTCAGACTTCCTCAGACAATCTCCGACTTTGATCAGACAAAATGTTGCAGAAATACATTTATGATAGTGTGCAGCAGGATTCTAGTATTGCATTGTATGGCCATGTTTATTCTTGCTACAGCATCTTGCATTATACACATACAGAATACTAGTATAAATGCATTGAGGGAAGGGATAGGGACAACCAAACTCCATTAATAAGAGAAAAAAGATAATAAAGCAAAGAGCAAACATATAACATATTCAGTCAGCAATTCGAAAGACTATACCCCCTCTGGTTCTAAAAACATTAAAAACATTGATTATGGAGATGATTTATTGGCTATACCCACTACCTCAATTTGTCAAAAAAATTGTATATGCAATCTGCAAAGCTGTATAGGGCAATGTAGAAAGATATCTAATGAAATAGAGATCTTCCTTATTAGTTGCAAAGATTTTGCTCATGGACAGAGAACTAGGGATGGGGCAATAAAGAATACCGAATCCGGAGGGTTTAAATACCAAAAATATTCGAATCCAACAAGACCGATAACAGGATTCGGGTTTCCGCCTCTCCGGTGCGATGCATCAATTGTATTTCGGGTTTCTAATTTTATAATTGAAGACGCGCTGTTTTTTCTCCGCAGGAGATCTCTCTCCGTTTACTTTGAACTTGCGTCCTGCTCTCAAGAACCTTAAAAATCGGTTTAACATCAAACACTGTAATGTAATCTCAATTGCGTATTCTAGACAAGAAGTCGGCGAAGTACACCCTCATGGCGAAACTCGTTATGACACAATTTTGTTTAACCCGAGGCATTTTTTCTCGCATGAAATATATTCTAGACTAGTAAATTATTCTACATTGCTCATCCCTACAGAAACCTCGGCCGAAAGTGAGAGTGTGAAAAAGCCGTATAAAAAATAACTCCCCCCTTGACTCAAGCAATTTTTACCAGTTTCCCATTCTGATCTTCTCTGATATGAAACGTCTTTACATTTTTGAAGATCAACTTCCAATAAATCTCGGACTTCTTCTTTATAGATTTCAACATAAGAAACCTGGGTGGTGAAAAACTAATATTAGAAATATAAAATTGTGAGCATGAGGGACTTCTCCGAACTCAACTATGGTGTCCGAATTTATATTTCCTAATTCCTTTACATATTAATAGATGCCCTTCTGAGTGGAAACATCAAAAAACAAAATATCATAGCCATGCACCAATAGTTAAGTAGAATTTCCTAGGTATTCCAAAAAGAAGTAAGGCAATGAGATAAACGGCTTGGGTTAGGAGCGCTCCAGAAGTGTGTGTACCAATATGGAGGTAACTAATTTTTTTCGTCGACTTTACATCAAGTTGTGTAAAGGGACTTAAACCTATGGGCAGGGGGTATATCCACTTGGCTAATACAGCAGACAGTCTCCGACTCGTAATAAAACTAAACAAGGAAAATCGGAATAAAATTATGGACTAACCTTGTACACATACTACGGGAGTACCAGGGTAGGCATATAGCTAACTATTGTCCAGTCACAATGACCTGTCTAGGTTTGGTATGGTAATGAGAATAATTACCACCTTTTACATAGATGAACATGCAGGGGGAGGCATAATAGGAAATTTGCTTAAAATAAGGTTAAACACCCTCACTAATAAGTAAGAGACTCTTCAAGTAAAGTTATGGGTGTGCTACACACACTCACAAAGAAGTAAGAGACTCCTCTTCGGGTAAAGTTTGGGTGACCTACACACACTCACTGAAATGTGAGAGACTCCCCGATGAGTAAAGGTATGGGTGACCCCTCAAAAATCTGCTAGAATATTCCAAGAAAGACTGTGTTCACTGTTCATAGCCTGAAACAACATCAGTGACAACTAAAACTCAAAATAACAAAACAACCCCGGCGGCGTGGCTCATCGTGCTAAGCGTTAGTAATACGCTCGCCACCGCATCTCTAATTACTCTGCGTGGGTTCGCAGGTTCGAATCCCATGCGGGATGGTTATGTGCGAGAGGATTGCTGGACTCCTCGCCGCCGTTGGGTTGTTCATGTAACCCCTGGTCGGTCACGGCTTCCTCCACCATCAAGTCCATGCTTCGGAAAAACAAATACCTAACTAATCCCATACCTGACATGGTCAAACCGGCTTTCCTCTCCCCCGGGATAAATATGTAAATCTTATCCTTATCCTAACCTTAATTGCATGGTCAATATGTTTTCTTCCTGGTGATTTAATCTCAGAAAACATCTCATTAATAGCTCTTGGTATAATTCCTTGTTCATCCCTCGTTATGTTTGCAGGGTTGCTTCCACCAATAGTGTATGTCTTCCCTGAACCAGTTTGACCATACGCGAATACTGTCGCATTGTAACCTTGAAAACACCCTTCAACTAGCGGCTTCACAGTGGTTTTATAGATATCCTAAAAAAAAATTATGATTGAAATTCATAAAGCTAACTTGTCTTTTCTAAGATAAGTTAAGGGCTGAAATGAGTCATTGTGGTAAGAAATAGAAAGATAGCAAATATTTAATGAAAATCTTTGGTCACTCGCAACTAGGGCTGGGCAAAATATTCGAATAACGAATATCGAATCGAATATCAAAATATTCGAATGGCATTTTACTATTCGAGTACCCGGTACCACGTGACCTGCGCCGCTTTGCTTCAACACGGAATTCGGAATCGTGAATTGCGCGAGAATTCACAAACGGCGCTCGCTAACATACAAAAGCGACAAATTTTCTTTGCGTTATGATGTTATTTGTTTTCTTTTCACGCCTAACGTATCGTTTCATTTCCTTATGTATTTGAAAAATTGGAAATTCTCATTGCCGTCTGTAACAGTCATCGCGATTACGCGCTCGTCGAAGAGACGTTTTTTCAGCGTATACTGATTTTTCTGATGCGTAAAATGATCAATCCATGACAACTACGGGATTCCAAAAATGTCTTTATATATTAATTTAATTATGTCAAACGTAACTCGCGGTTGCTTCTTCTTAAGTCAAAATTAAAACATTACTTCTCTGAAATGCCACGGCGATCTGTGGACATAAAAGTATGAGATAAACTGCTGGGTGTATATAATTTTAAGATGTATTTTTGGAATCTTGCAAACTCGTTATCGCCGTTAGAAAAATCTCAATAACTGATATAAAATCCCGTAGAGTACAATTTCATTTCGTACAATGAAAATACATATAAAGTATATCGTTTAATCAAAAATACATATTCATCGCCGCGATTAGGCCACTTGTTAAAAGAGCCGACTTTTGCAATGAATAATGAGTTTTCTGTTGTGCAAAGTAATCAATTTGTGACCGATAAGGGCATATTTAAAATGTCTTGCTTCATTTTTGTCTTCAGTTTAACCAGCGGTTGAGTCGACAAAATAAAATCTTCACAATTTTAAAATACGACGGCAATCTGCGGACATAAAGTGTGGTAAACTGCTCGAATATATAAAGCTTTGATTTCCCTATTTTCAGGACTTGTAACATCAAAAAATCCATAAATCTGCTGTAATATCTCAGGTTAAAATTTATTTTAGCACAATAAACATTGATTGAATATACATTAGATTGATTATTTTATATATATCATCACAACCCGGGGAAAGTTGTCCGTTTCAAACCTTGTATAATGTTGAAAAGAAAATTTTCGACGGCAATTTAAAGTAATGGATAATATGGCCAATCCCGCCCACAATTAACAGTGCTTCGATATTAGTGATGATATGTTTTCTAAACGCCGGCCAAACATAATGTGTGCGAGAGGCACACAAAATTTTGCGATTTTCAATGTCAAAAAGGCGTTTTAAACTGTCGCAGGCCTCAATAAAACTCATATTGTTTAAAGTTTTATTTTCAGTATTTTATATTGCCGCTTTTCAATCAAAAAATTTGCGTTGTCCTCAAAAACTCGCCGCCGATGAACGTATATTAATTAAACTATTGCCGGATTCGCAATTCCGTGTGTGTACAAAAATAAAATAATTATCATCGTTAACGTCGCACAACGTTGTGGAAAATTTTTGATTTAGAGAGGATAAAACCAACATAAAGTTGTTTACGACCTAAATACCACGTCACGCTGATAATAACAATCGGCGATTATAGCAAAATGCTATCGCACGCGTTATTGGCGACTTTTACAATTTTAAAAAAATTTCAACGGCAACGCACAGGTATACCTAATATATAAAACTTCGATGTCTGCCGACCCGCAAGAATTAATACTTTCAAAAAAATGAATCGGGCGGGAATACAGATTACGAACTTTAGGATCGCGGCGACAAAAACAATTAGTGATTTTGATGAATTTAACCAGTAAATAAAAAACGCTTTGTTGCCGATTTTTCAAAGTTTCTTCTAATTTTCGAAGGGAGTATCGACCTCCGACCGACTATTCGATTCGGAAAAAAATATTCGATTTTGCCCACCCCTACTCGCAACATAACACAATGGTTCAGGCATCAACCTAGGAATTGGGAAAACGCTTGATATCACACACACACCTTTGAGTACCCTGCACTGTTTGGCATTTTCTTCTCAGATGGAAAAAAAATTATGTGCGAGAGGATTGCTCGTCTTCTAACTGTCACAGGGCAGTTCACATAACCACTGGTCCACGAATAGGTCTATTCACTTGAAACAAATACCTGGTGACTACTCCCATACCCAACATGAACTTGTAACCAGACAAGAGGACGTGGTTCATCACATGATTGACCAAATATAGACTTTCCCCTCTCTCAAGAGAAATCCAGCAAGAGTAAGTGTAAACAGGCCCAGAAACTAGAGATATTCAAAAGAATACTCATCAAACATGCAAATAAAGTGAATTCAAGTTTTTCAACCAAAATAAATTTGAACCTGTTGTTTTGTGTTCCACCAATGCAAATGATCAAAAGTGAAAGATCTGTCTTTTCCAACAAGAAGTTGATTCTTGGAGTTTGGAACTTTCTTCACACAAACCTAAATAGATAAAAACACTGATGTCAAATTACCCTCACCCAACGGTTGCATTTGAGAAATATGAAGTGTAAAATTAGGGGAAAATAGTTATATGATATGCTATGCCATATTTTCCATATGCTAAACCAGAGAGCCCAGCCAGCCAAGCCCTGGTCAACACTCAGATTTTCCCAATCAGGCATAAAATCCAAATCCAACAGTTTATGTTCAAAAAGCCGCTCACAAAGGGGAAAATACATAATGATTTTTGCTCTTGTGTCGCTCGGTTTGTCGATAATCTTTTAATTCTTTGGGTAAAAAAACTAAATATTTGTGGGTTAGCCAGATTAGATGTCTGAAGTTAGTGTTTTGGCCTACCGACAAAAAATTTTGCACACCGCCTTGCTAGACTAATGCACTGAAAAATGTCAAACAACCTATTATCTGCAGTCTGCCTTGGTATGATCATATATGGTTAGATTTACACTGAATATATATCGTGCCTAAACAGTATAATTAAGATAATTTGTCATACCTCCCCCCCTATCTTTTGAAATGGCTTTATCATACATAGCAATTTTTGTAGCTTGAGGGCCTCTGAAACCCACGCCGATGATCTAACCCACGTCGCCCCGCTAATTGTTATGATCTAACATGGAAATTAGACATTTTAGAACCCCCCTTCAGAAATTCCTGGTTCCCCCAGTAATTTGGAGACAGTTTCAAATATTGTTGCCTATTAGACATATATGAAGGTTAAAAAAATCATTTCAAAGTTGTAAATATCTTTCAATTTATCACCTGGTGGCTATGAAGTCTTTCACTTGGTAGAAGAGGCCTCACACGGACAGCAACACAGACATTTACAGAATCATCGGCCATCTTGCTCTCACGATAGGCAATCAAAGAAAATTAAAATTATATTAAAATCATATTATTTCCTGGGTAAAAAAGGATTTGAGAAAATGAAAAATGATTTTTTACATTATTACACTTATTCAATGCCATCCAGAGTAGACTGGGTGATGAATTCACTGGGTTATTCAGGACTATGGGTCAAGGTGCAGGCTGTTCTGGTAAGAGTATCATCTTGGTTGCCTTTGCCATTACATTCAGCACATTCAGTTTAGACTACCAATAATTTTTTTTTTTGAGCATCTTCGGGAATCAGATCCATTTCCTCTCCAGCTGTTCATAAATCTGTAACACTCATTAAACTCATTCCACTCAGCTTTATATTTTGTCGGAAGGCCCAAACCGAATTATCAACACAGGGTGTGATCCGATGAGGTGAATTTGATCTATGTTTGTCAATTGTAAAGAGAACAACAAAACTGATTCAGAATATGAAATCATTGATTCTGGCGAATCAAATAAAATTATATTCCAATAACTCCAAGCAGGAAGGGAATACAAAAGCTATCATATTGGAGTCTGAAATATTCTTGAAATCCAAAATTTACCAATCCAACAAATACCTTCTGACCTTATAAATTCCTTGTAGGCATTTATGAAAAAAATCCATACTCAAACAGAGGATAACAATTCATTGATTCATTTTTCTCTCAGTCGTTTTATAAAACAAACAGTATCATTATTTCTAATCCCGTAAGTTTTTAATTTATCTTTATCATTTCTAAGTTTTTGTCCATCGAAATATAACCAATATGTCCGCCATACATATTTCCAACTGATATGCTTAGGCCCATTTTCTCGTTGCATTTTAAGCATAAAGTGTCGATTTATTGCAGATTTTATATCTTTCACTGTTCCATTTTGATTGACAATAACTGTATAGCAATCCCCATCAGCTCTATTCACTGTGATAGTCATGGCTCGTCCATATTCGAGGTCTATTAAAGAGTTTATTTCTTCTATTGTGATGTCATCTTTGATGTCATAGAGCAGTGGATCACCCAACATTTCGTCCAATTTTTCTTTAAATATATCCTTACTATCTTCCTCAGTCATTATAATAATACAGTGAAACTGTAAAATTTATAAATTCGGAAATGGCTCAAATGTAGGTACTCCTGAATTATGCGCACCAAGATGTCGCATAAGCTGAACCCTAACCTGGTACACAACCTGAGTTCAGGTTGTGCGCCATCTTGGTGCGCATACTTCGAGGTCCCAAATGTATTAAGAGAGAGAGTTCAATTTTTAAACCAGAATATATGTATACATGTAATAATAGATAGTACCACAAATATTTTGATATAGACTAGAACAGTGCTCTTCAACCGGATATACGATATACCCAAGTGTATACCAGACCATAGGGTATAGGATAGACCGTTGAGTCTACAACTGATAAAGGGTATACGAAAGGTGTACAGCCTAAATCAGGAAATCTAAACTCTGATATATATACAGTATATAATAAAATATTCAATTGGAGACAACAATGAAAATGCACATGAAATATAAAATGTTATTAACGCTAAGAACCGATGTGAGCACGTTGATACATCACAAATTATATAGATAATACGGTCATGTGTCTGGGTTGGTGATTTCGGCCGCCATGCACTTTGTTTCATTTATGTCGAACATAATTCCCGTCGACGCCAAGGCAGTCAGTCAAATTTATAACTTGCGGTCACTAGCCTATTACATTGCATGATGATATTGCAGTACAATATGTGCTTGAAATTTATTGTTTATTTGAGCCTTAAATAAACATTGGTATTTGTAAGGTATACAAAGTTCTTGAAAAACTGTAAAAGGTATACTTCGATAAAAAAGGTTGAAGAACACTGGACTAGAATATACCAATACAACCCAAACAGATACTACAATAATTGTTTAATAATATTCAACTCAGAACAAGGCTCAACATACAGCAATACAGACTGCCCAGCAAGTAGAAACCATTGCAATACCGCAATATCATACCGGCACTCTCCTTAACTTCAGCTTATATGTTAAAAAACTATATAATCTGTAACCTATCTTCACTACCCTTTTTTTTTAAACTTCCCAATAAAACACACGCTCCCACCTTCAACGAGCAAATCTGAACAAACTCGAAACACGGCGCTAATTGTATCAATTTTATTTCAAAGGCATCCAAACAAAGTTTTCTGTTTGTGTACTGACAACTAATGTCACGTGACCATGGAAATCCACTGATGTGTGCAATGATTTTACTTAAATTCTCAATAATCGAGACAGAGAAAAAGTATAATAAAAAATGAATTAAAGTTTTGATCTTTATTTTAACCCAAATTATTATATAAATCAGCCTAAAATGTGCAAAAGAGATAATCATACACCAACATTTGTCGAGCCCCTTCTGTCCACTTGATAGCGTATGTTCCCGCGACGATTGCACTCAGCGTGTTCACTATTCAGTTATTCTTGCTTAGGCTCGCAGGTTTTGCTTGCGAATTTTTGAAATTTCTGGTTCAAAAGCCGAAATTACGGAGAAAAATGGCGTACAAAGGAACCAAAGTACAGAAGGTTATGGTCCAGCCTATTAATCTAATTTTCCGATACTTGCAAAACCGATCGAGAGTTTCAATTTGGTTGTATGACCAAGTTAACATCAGAGTGGAAGGACATATTGTCGGATTCGATGAATACATGAATTTAGTATTGGATGAATCAGAGGAAGTTCACCTGAAGAGGAGCACCAGAAAAACTCTTGGCAGAATCATGTTAAAGGGAGACAATATCACTGTCATTCAGCAGGTCCAGGAGCCGGAATCCATGGCTGCATAGTTCGTCTATTGGCAGCTAGTTTTATGGACTGAAACAACGGATTAAAGAACTTTCTGAACATCAATTTTATTTTAAACTTAAACGGAATTTAAGCTGCGGTTCCATGTAATTTTTGAATCCTGGTAATGATGCTGCAATAAATTTTGTTCGTACCATTTATTAAAAAAATTCAGCGAAACCATCACTGCTAAATTTACAGTTTTATGAACTGAAACCCTGGAATTATAAATTGCAGTTACCTTTCCAATCATCAAAATTTTTAAGGTTTAGTTTACCTGAAGTGCAAACAGACTTTAATTTCTTTTATTTATAATTTTGATGATGATGCTACAACTGTTTTTGTTATTACTGTATTAGCTGAACAGAAAAAGTCCAATAACCAACTTCAAAAATATTGAAAGCTGATTTTCAACAATTTTTATATCCTATTCTGAAGTCTTCACTTCATTCAGAAATTAAAAATGCTGCAATAAGTTTCGCACGTAACATTTATTAAAAATATTCAACAAGACCATCGCTGTTAAATTTACAGTTTTATAAACTGGAACTCTGGAATTATAAGTTGCAATTAGCTTTCCAATCATCAAAAATATTTTTAACCTGAAAACAGATTTTAAGGTGTAGTCTACATGTGCAAACATACTTTAATTTCTCATTATTCATAATTTTAATAACGATGCTGCAACAAGTTTTATTATTTCTGTCTGTATTACCTTAATAGAAAAAGGCAAATAACCAAATTCAAAATTATTGAAAGCTGCTTCTTAATTTTTTAAATCCTATTTTAAAGTCCTAGTTTAGTTTTTATCATGTGGAGTGCAAATTCGATCGCTGCTGCTGTTTGTTCAATTGTGCAGTAAAACCTTTCATGCTATTGCCAATGGTGGTGTCTCCATCTCACTGGCAATGGATATATTTTGCTGCTTTTTGACTTACTTAGAACTTAAAAAATTTCCCAATAAACCTTTATACTATATGAACTGTTGTAATTTATTCTCCGACATATTGCCAGAATTTACATTTGCACTGCGCAGCTGTTGAAATATGTGCAATTTTTTATATGGGTTCCAGATCTCTTTAGTGTGAAAAAAAGGGTGGAGCATGGATTTGGTTTATGTAACCAATTGTGGCTTTCACTTCCTAGCTGTGGACCTAAAGATATTGTGCAAGTGAGACTGCTCGTGTTAAAAGGAACTACATCACTTCGTAGTTCACCTATTCGTTCAGAGAAACACACAAACTGATATTTTTTCCTTTTTTTGAAAAAAAGTCAAGTTTGAATAGGTCATGAAATAGAATTGGAACTGAAAATTAGTGAAACTTCGTTTGGTTTGTAATACGAACATATGAGATTGTATTTTAAATTCCTGTTGAAAGTGACACAGTAATTTCAGCTGTTGGCACACAGTAAATGTCAGTGTATGATTCATAAATCATGACAGCTGTAAATGAATGATTCCCTGAGTACTTATAATCATTTTGCCACATCATGTGCAAGAGGGTTGCCACAATCTACAAAAACTGGTAAAGTAAAATTTAGTCATTATAACAGTTACAACATGGGCTCTCTTAATCACTAAACCATGATTCACACTTGGGTACTCCCGAAGTATGTGAACCAGGTTTGGGTTAGGCCATAATTTCGGGTACAAATACTAGGGGTGTCACTTGGATAGTCCCCGAACTCGTAATAGAACTAAAATAAGGTAAATTAGAATAAGATTATGGCCTAACCTAGTACACATGCTACCTTCGGGAGTACCCACACTTGCAGACCAAGGTGCATTTAGTATCATTAAACTCATGGTGACACCAAGTGATGTAGGACAAGTATTCTGAGGACCATAAAAATTATTATCACTTCGTGGCTCTAAAAAACATTACACTTCTATAGCCCAGTGAATTTTCAGACAGATCATTGAATTTTTAGTCAGGAATATAGAATAGGATTTACATATTTATCCCGGGGGAGAGGAAAGTCGATAAGACGGCTTATCCATGTGGCGAACCACGGCCTCTCGTCCGGTTACTATTCCAAGTCGGGTATGGGATTAGTTATATTGTTTTGTTTTCGGAAGCCGTATCCGACCAGCGGTTACGTGAACCACCCAACGACGGCGAGGAGTCCAGCAATCCTCTCGCACATAATCATCCCTGCATGGGATTCGAACCTGCGAACCCACGCAGAGTAATTAGAGGTGCGGTGGCGAGCGTATTCCTAACGCTTAGCCCGTTGAGCCACACCGCCGCGCCAAAGTACAACACTATGAGGTAGCAAGAGATAGATACTCAGATAGCAAGGTCATGCACTTTCACTCAGGAGTTAATATCATTTCATATCTCAGGATTCTAATATTATTAATTATTATCACTTCATGACTCCTAAGAAACATCACACTCTTGTGACATAGTGAATTTTCAGACAGATTATTAAATTTTTAGTCAGAAATGTACTTTGCCTGTCCATCACAAGCACTCTGAATGAGGGGACCATAAAAATTATGAGCACTTCGAGACTCTAAAAAAACATCACACTTGTACAGCCCAATGAATTTTCAGACAGATCATTAAATTCAGAATTGAGAAATGCACAACACTATGAGGCAACAAGGGATATTTACTTCCATTTTATTTTCTGAGGAATTTGTTCAAGCATATTCATGTGCTCTGCTCCCACTAAGAAGTTAAGGTGAATTAATATCATTTGGGATCCCAGGCTTCTACTTCAGCTTGATCTGGGTCCTTTTTCTTAGGTTTAGGAACTTCAGTTTTTGGTATATCCCTTTCTTTTTTTTGCTGTTCATCTAAAAATTTCACTCTTTCTTTCATTTTTCGCATTCTAAGTAAATTGTTTTCAACTTCCAGCTCTGTCGGAGGAAGTTTCCTTCTCCCTTGAAGCCAAGATAACCATTCTGTAGGAATATCTCGGCCCGATTCAATTATATCTCGTTGATGTGGGTCTTTCACCGGAGTATCGACTGATCGTCGTGTTTTAAATACTTCTTTGAGTCCAAAATAATATTTTTGTGGCGGTGTCTCGTAATAAATATTCCCTATAAAGTCTCTTCCTTTGTATATTTTATCCGGTTCCAATCGTAGTGATTTCGAAATCGCCTGTAGACCTCGCCGAAGCATTTTATCACAATGATCTTTATTAGAACATTTTTAATTTTAACTATCTGCTTTATGAAAATCAAAAATTAACAAAATATTGCACTTTGATAGTATAATCGAGAAAAGCAGAAATAGCAGTGACAAAGTATTTAGGTCAAGATGAAATATTAATTTAAGGCTGTGAGGTTGAAGTTTGGCATGTCTAATACATATTTATACAAACTAAGAGTGAAAATCTTATAGACCGACCCACTTTCAGGCTTTTGTTGGTGATAATTGAAAAAGCACCAAAATGGCTAAGCATTCCCAACAGACGAACAAAAAAGGTTTTCATATGCCGACATTTCTGTTATCAAACTTCAGTTTTCTCGAGTCTGACAATGCCAATATAATTTTAGGCGGGGTAATATTAGTGGGGGAGGGGGGTAACAAGAAAAGACCAGAGATTTCATATAAAATGGATTAACATTTCACTGCTAATTCAAAATTATCACACAGTTTGGGAACGACTAATGTGAAGAAAATAGAAAATTTCAACATCAGGCACAGAATTGGCAATACAGATGAATGAGGAAGTGAAAATGTATTATCATATACTTGTTCATACAAATCAGGAGTAATTGAACTGAACAAAGGGTACTCTCATAGTGTGTACCAGGTTAGGGCGATTTTCCTCATTTTAGTTCTATTAAGAGTTCAGGGACTGTCTGTGTTAGCCAAGTGATTTTACCCCCTGCCCATAGGCTTCAGAACAAAATTAGTTACCTTCATATTGGCACACACACTTCTGGAGTGCCGAACAAAGAATTTAAGAGTTACAAAATTGGTTACAGTGTACAGCCATGTTAGAGGGCCGAAGCTGACGAATAGCATTATATTTAACATTTTGAAAGTTATGTATTAGATTTATTTAAAATGTGTCATATAAATAAAGATTAAATATATAATAAATAGTGACAAACATATATTTTCTGAAACGAGGAAACCTGTTGTTAGTGAGTTCGATACAAAAAAGAGGGTGTCCATAAAGTCCATTTACAATTTATATTTTGTTATGAAGACAGTTCTCAATATATCTTAACCAGGTTCGTTGTTTTTTTTTCAGGAATTGTTTAAGTATTTTTAATTCATTTATTACATCTGCGAAGGCCAAAACAATATATGGTATCCGTATCGATGAATTCCCTTCGCAATTTTGAAAACTTCAAGACTTTATGAACACCCTATAGACCTGTTCATAAAATTATGAATCTCATCACTTGCTACAGCATAAATTAAACTGAACTATCACAATTATTTGATGGCATTTGTCAAGCATAGTCAAGTACTAATGTAATATAAAGAGTATTGAAAATCAAAAATAATGTAATATGCTAATAATAAATAAATGAATACCAATATAATGTTGAAAGAATAATACAGATTAAATAGAACATACACAGTAAATACTTGATACAGATTATCAATGAAATTTACCGAAAAAAGCTTACCAATACAGAAATGACTCTTGGTACACAATGATAAATGACTATGACCGTATATTGAAATTTATGCAGATATGGACAAATCCTATGATTAGTGTGGTCGTCATGCGGTATCAATGAATAAAGGTTTTGGGTGCAAACCTCGTGCCAATCAACTTGTCTACTATGTACTAAAATTAATATGAACCAGTAGGTACAGTACAGTAGGATGAGATTTGCATATTATTCTAGAGATATGGTGAACCAATCTGGTCTGGTTACCAGTCAATGTCAGGTATGTGATTAGTTATCCAGATATTTGTGATGAACCATACAGATTCTAATTCCTCCAGAAATAGAATATCTATCACATAAGCAGATGTCTGTCTAAAACTTTGTTCAGGGCTAAGATACTTTACCAGGTGGAGTGTTGGTCAGTATTAAAAGGTACTAAGAGGTTGCGTAAAGTAATAAAAAATGCTGTGATTCATGAGTATGCCAGTACACTTGCCAGTACAGAGAATATACAACAAGCACATGTCTATATTCAGAAGGTCTTCCATTATGAACAATATATACAAAAATTTTTAAGGTTTTTTCTTGCTGTATAGACTTACCATTATTGCTAGTCAATCAGTGTTGTGTCCGAGTATATTGTTGGGAAAATGTTTAACGTGAGCATATGAAGTGAGATTCACGCTAGGACATTCTGGGGATAAATGTTGTGCTTTCGCAGAAGCTTAGAATGCCATACAATCAGGATAAGTGTGAGACATTTTTAAAGCAGCTGTTGATAACAAGTTACCACACATGAACATTTTTAACTGCTTGAATCATCAATATCACTGTCAAATATAATGATCGAAGTTGGGTCAGCTTTTTGTAGTGAATCCATCATATCTGTACTGAGATTAATGAATGTCATTTTAATATCGTGTTTGTTAAACTCTTCAGCAAGTTCTATAAAGCTCTGAATTGCAGTGTAATCTAGATGAGATAGATTTGATGCATCTATAGTAATCGTTGATATATCTTGATCGCTTATCTTTTTGAAGATAAGATGCCTTATCTTATCAGTTACATATTCCGCAGCTGGGTAGTGTAGACCCGCTTCAGGGGTTACAATGACATTAGTTCCAGAATCACGATTTGTGATGGTTTTGTATGGGATTCCCGGGAAAGCATTTGGATATAACATGATTAGAAGCGAGACTGCAACTCCAGCGAGGATTCCGTAAGGAATTTGCCAGAAACACACAAGAAAAGTTGCAATTAATGGTAACAGGTCAATCTTTTTGACTTTCCATAAAGTAACTACAGTAGCATAATCAACCATATAAATAACAGCGGAGATAATTACGGCAGCGAGTGCAGCTTTGGGGATATAGTAGAATGAAGGCGTCAGGACCGCAAGGCTTAAAATCACAAGCGCTCCGGTGAAGATCCCACCAGCAGGGGTTTTAACATTACTTTGAGCATTGATAGCCGTTCGAGAAAAACTTCCAGTAACACAATATGATGATACAAATGAGCTGAGGATGTTAGAAGCACCGATAGCTATCATTTCTTGATTAGTCTCCAGTATATAGTTGTTTTTTCTCGCAAAAGCTTTCCCAATAGCGATACTTTCAAGGAGTCCCATTAACGGAATCACGAACATGCCGTCACCTATTCTGCTTACAAGCTCCTTTGTCGTTACTGTAGTGTTTCCATTGACTTCATTGAATTCCGGTGGCTTAAAATCTGGCAACCCTTCATCAATTTTTCCAGTGAGGGTAACACAGTCTTCAACTTTACATGATGTGATATCTTGAGAGTGGATTGCATAAGCTACAAATGCAGCTGATATGACCACAACAGCATTTCTTGCTGTGCTTATAACCCAAACGAATTTTTTTGATATTTTTTGACAAATAGTATCATCTGGGGAGTCTGGCTCAATCCAATCTTTTATATAACGCAGTAACACCAGGCATGCAATACAGCTGAGACCCATTACAACATCCCATACATTAGTATCCCCAAGGGCTTTCAGCATTTCGATAAGTTGAGGAACAAAGCTACTAGAAGTTGTTTTCACTCCAAATATATGCTTGAACTGGCCAAGAGCAATTGTTATTGCGGCCGCTGAAGTGAATCCACTGATTACAGGGGTAGAAATGAAACGCATAATGAATCCTAGACGTAATATCCCCATTGCAAATTGAACTACGCCTGCTAGAAAGGTCAGCAAAACAGCCTGAACAGGATCTCCATCACCATAAGTGTGCACTAGCAATGACATGATTGCTGTTGGTCCAAGCGTTATATCTTTGCTCGTGCCAAATATACAATACACAAATCCACCCATGAAAGCACTATAGAGACCATATTGGACAGGTAAACCAGCTATTTGAGCATAAGCAAGTCCCTGTGGTATCACAGTCAATCCAACAGTTAATCCAGCGATGATATCACATTGCAACCAGTTTAATTTGTACTTTGGGAGCCAACTCAAAATCGGAAAGTAAGATTTTGTGATGTCTAGGCATTTGCTCGTTGTACATTCAAATTCAACTTCTTGTCCAAAGATTGTTTTCTTCGACTTTTCAGGTTCCTCAATTTTTGGAGGTAAAAATGGTTGGGACTCTGAGTTATTGATGAATGGATCGGAGACATTTATATTAGTCATTTTCAATTATTATTAATGCATAAATGCCCTGGGTGAAATAAAAATTGTTTTAACATTTTGTAGCCTACATAGATAGACAAAATTGTCCAGACTTTATGGACACCCTAAATATTAAATCTGACTACATAAAACTTGGCTTCAAGTCAGCGCTTTCAGACCGAAGAGAAATTCATCCTAGCTTTCAGAAATCGAAAAGTTAGGATTATTTCACAAAAAGGTAGGTATCAGTAGTAGATGACTAAAAAGGGGGCTCCCGAAGTATGCGAACCAAGATGGCGGACATCGGAATGTAATATGTGTACTAGGTTAGGGTTAGGCCATAATTTTAGGTATAAATACTACGGGAGGCCCTTGGCTAGTCTTCGAACTGATAATAGGACTAAAATAAGGAAAATTGGAAAAAAATTATCGCCTAACCCTAACCTGTTACTGATACCTACCTTTTTAATCATTTACTACTGATACCTACCTTTTAAGTCATTTACTACTGATACCTACGGTACCTTTATAGTCATTTACTACTGATACCTACCTTTTTAGTTATTTACTACTGATACCTACCTTTTTAGTCATTTACTACTGATACCTACCTTTTTAGTGAGTGATACCTATGATACCTGTGATACCTATGATACCTACCTTTTTAGTAGGGCCCGTCTTACAGACTGACCCACATGAAACAATATTATCTGAACAGTGGCTTTCATATTCAATAATGTATATATTCAGGTATTTTTAAATTTTTAACGCATTCTGTGAAATAAAATCTTTTAGTCTTTATTTCTGCCCCAATCCTACCCCTTTGCCGCAAAATTGTGCAAGAGCCGATCACGAGTTGTTGCAATAATGCAAAAACACCTTCACAAAAATCAGCTCAAGAATGACATCTAACGGTATGTTAAAATTAAACTTTCGCAGCGCAACACACGCCGTCATGTTGTTAGGTTCATTATCAGTTTCTGCATTGTCAGTAAGTGTCGACACCGGTACCGGTAGTGTATCGTTCTTTTTTAGTAATTATTTCAGTTTAGACAAAGTTCCTATCTTCGAAACTGCAAGAATAATGTTAATGCGGTGCTTGACGTTAGGCCCAGAGCTCGACCGATATATCGGGCGGATATTGCGTGTTTGCCGATATATCATACCGTCGATATATATCGGCCATACTCGGCAAGCGCCGGGATGCGTGCTTCAACGGCTCTCGCCTCTGCATAACTGCTGGTTTACCAAAATTTCTATCCATTTTGCATTAAAAAGATGTCTCTCCCAATTCCCGTTGGTACCGGTACATGATTAGCCATTTCATGCATGGTCATAACTGAGCAGTTATCATCCGGAGTAACAATTTCGAGAGAGAAAGCACAATAAGAAAAAGGCAAATTTAGTATCAATAGAAAACGGTGGTTCTATAAATAGAATCGATTTGAAGCTGGTGGGTTAGTAATCACAGAAACATGGTACAGGTAGCTCAAAGCAATAATGTCATCAAAGTAGCTCCCGAATTTGTGACCTTCCCAAATTAAATTTTGAATTTCTGGGGTTAACAGTTTTATCAATATGGATAGTTGTTTATCATTTTCATGAGAATTACACAAAAAAACCTTAATCCATTATAATAAGGTATTGAGCGTCTCTAGAAAGATAGTTATTAAAAATTTCACATGTAACTGCACATATGCTATTACAATATCGAAGTCTTTTATCATTATCACGATTCACTTTAGAATATATCAATTTATAACTTTTCAATACCCTTAACACATGCCCACGGCCACAGTTATATTTAAAATCGTCAGATTAACAATTCTTTTTCCTGGAAAAGGCTAGACTGATATTGAAGTCGCAGGAAAAGTTACAGAATAACATTTGTTCAAGCATTAACAGTAGCTAGTTAAATAAAAGTCTTACTGCAATGATGATAAATATCAAAATGAAACTACAGACTCACGAGGTACATAATAAAAGCCCATTTTGTGGCACAAAATATGATTTATATTAATATCGGCGTCAAAAAGTGATAGCGGTCGAGCTCTACCCAGAAGGCCTAGTGGTTCTAGCGTTTCGAAACTAAAGTACGGTACCGGTTCTGTGTACCACCATTGTCAGATTGTAATTAATACAGTACCGGTTTCGTAATAAGTTCCAGTCATTGATGGTACAGTAGGACAGTACGGCACACTATACAAATCGGGTGACATTGTCTCGTTTCAGAGAAACCCATTTTACAGATGATCAGACACCCCCTTTGGGAGACGTCTGGACGTTGTTGTCCCTCAATATCGGTAATAATACAGTATAATGAAGTTGCGCAAAATACTACAAAAAAGCGCAATCTAGTAACGTCATCATTGAAGTCCCTGTGAAAAAATAATCCGATTTACCGAAGGAAAAAAAAATTTACCGTAGCATTCGAGAGTTTTTAGCAAAAAACGGCAATTTTGGTCATGTGACGCCCACGATCAATTTGGATTATTATGGAGACAAGCATGGCGCGATATGAAGCATCTGACATGGTCCCAGACGCCCCTCATTTGTGAGACACATGGAGTGTTTGTTTCATTGAGCCAAATGGAGGGATATTTATGGAATTTGGATAGTGTGCTGTACTGTAGGGCAGCCCCGGAGCAAGGATTCATTAAAATTGACATGTTGTGTGTAATATCAGGTAGCCGACTCATGAGGTTTTTATATTTAAAAGGTATTGCCCGATTTTGTATTACTGTTGTGTATGTCTTTTTTTGGGGTGTTCTTTGACTCTTTTTGCCACATTCTCAAAAATTGCAATTCCCGTTGAGCAGTCATCGTCATGGTCCAAGCTTTTACAGAACCGAGGTTATTTCAGTCCGTCAATATCGGTTCAGTTTACTCCTGTATTGCTAGTCGCACAAGGTTATGTTCTTGGGCCAACTTTCTTTTCAATGTTCAAGAATTATACCGTATGTGACCAAAATAAAATTGATTGATTGGTTATATCATGGCTATTAGGTCATCGATATTGGAGTCTGAAACAAAGTGACGTTTTCAAACTATATTCACCCCATTGATTCGATCATAAATTTTTCTCGACTACAAAGTCTTGCTTAGAAGGTCAGTCAAGTCAATGTGATAGCAACTCGCTTAGTATTTGTAATGTAGTTTTCTGGTTGATGGATAATGATAATATTTTCTAGATTAAATTACAGGCCAATTATTTATTCACTGGAAATGGATCGAATTAATTTTTTTGATCTCGCATTTGATGATGAATTTGCAAAACCGGCATTCATGCCAGAAATTAAAGAAGAAATTATTGAAGACGGTCTGTCATTTTTCAATGAAAATCAAACTGAAGTTACCAATATTTTTGAGAAAATCAATTCTCTTTGTAATCTGGAGGCTGACGACTCTTTTATATCCGAAAATAGAGATTTATTTGATGAACAAAGAATTTGTTTGGAAAATAACTATATCGAAGAGCTTTTGTTGGGGAATAAAAGAAATAAAAAACGTCGAAAGATACCCCGTAAATGTGAAGTTTGTGGCAAGATTTTGACAGATAGAAGTACATACTGGAAGCACAAGCAGGTTCATTTATCAGATAAAGCTTATAAATGTGAGTTTTGTCCGAGAACATTCAGTGGCAAGGAAAGTTTAATTGTGCATCGGTTTGAACATACTGGACAATATGCTTATAAATGCTCCAAGTGCGGTAAACAGTTCCGAAGTCGCTGGGGGCTGACTCTACATATTCGAACCCATACTGGGTATAAGCCACATGGTTGTCACGTATGTGGGATGAGATTTTCTAATACTGGAGATATGGGGAAACACTTGAAGCGTCATTTTGCTGTAAAGTCGTATAAATGTAAAGATTGTGGGAAGAAATTTGTTTCTTCGAAAGAGCTCAAAATACACTTTAATAGAGTTCACTCAAATGAGAGGCTCCATAAATGTGACAAGTGTGATAAATCTTTCAAAACTAGAGCGGATATGTTACGACATGAAAAGCATCATCTTGCCTTGAGAAGCTTTTCATGCCCAATCTGTCAATTTACTTGTTCAATTAAACATAATTTGGAAGCGCATTTCAAAGTACACTCGAGCGAGAAGTCTTTTTTCTGTGAGGTCTGTGGCAAGCAATTCAAACGTGCAGGAGATGTTAAAAAGCATATGGCAACTCATTCTAATAAAAGACCATATCAGTGTAAATTCTGCGATAAAACCTACAAAGCTGCTAAACATTTGAGTGTTCATGTCAATCGAGCACACACCGGTACCAGGGACATTGAATGCGTGCAATGCAAAAAGAAATTTTTCGATACTGCATCGCTTAAAAATCATATTAAGATACATATTGGCAAAAAGCGATTTTCATGCGAAGTATGCAACAAACGTTTCCTAGTGAAACATAATTTAATAACACATGAACGAGTGCACACTGGAGAAAAACCATTCGAATGTAGAATTTGTGGACAACGTTTCACGCAAATGCCGAATAGGGCACGTCATGAAGAAAGACATATATTGAAAAATACAGGCTTAAAATCTTTTTCATGCAAAAAATGTGATAGGTCATTTTTAACTAAAGACTATCTAAATCATCATTCTGTGATTCACTCTAATGAAAAACCCTTTTCATGTGATTTTTGTGGAAAATTGTTTCATTTCAAGACTAACTTGGAAATTCATCTTAGAGTTCACACAGGAGAAAAACCGTACAAATGTGAAGCATGCAGGAAGTCCTTTTCTCAGCACAGCTCTTGGAAACATCATGTCAAAGAAAATGTGTGTGCAAAAGATGTGCATGTGTAAGCAAAATTTAAGTCTTTCAATAAATTTTTTTAACACAAAGTGGACTGATGGATCGTTATGGCTAGAAGCAGTGATGGGATTCAAATTTTTCGTCAGCCTGTTCCTTCACCAAAGTCATATTTTTCAGCCGGTTCTGTTTCAAACAAAACATTGACAGTAACCAGTAATGCTAACCGGTTCGCTGATCTCATAAAATTCAAAGAGACGGTTCTATAGAACCGGTTACGACCCGGCTGAACCCCACCACTGGCTGGAAGGCTATTACAAAAATTATTATTTATTACGGCTATTATTTCAAAAAATTTTTGGGCATTTGTGGAATTTTTCTCGATTTTAAATTTTTGTTGAGATGACATTGTCAAAATTGAAAAATTCGCACTGTGCTGTGGTTTCGTTATCACATCGTGTCCAAATATTTGAGCATTGATCTCTTATTTATATAATTTTCTTTGATATGTTCAGTTTGGTTCTTTCAATGGTGTTTTCTCATTCTTTCTCTTAATATGTTCCCAATTGATAAAATGAAGTGAGTAATGCTGTAGAGTCAGAAAAGTTTGTAGCGTACATGAAGCCATTAGAAAACGATTCTGTATTCCGGACTCAGGGATGGCCATTTCCGAATACTAAACTATTCCGAGTACATTCTAAAATAATGTTTTCGAATGTGGAATTCCGAATACATTCTAAAATCGAAAATAACACATTTTTGTTTTAGTTTATTAAAACCCAGTAAATTAGGAAATAAGCTTCAATAGAAATATCAGAATAAAGCCACAAACCAACAGTATATGTACACAAAGTAATTAATAGTTTACAGCTATCAATAAAAAATAATAGCAACTTGTGACACTGGCAGTTTATTAAAATTATTCACTTTGTACAAATGACCATATGAAATAATAGCCAAGGAGTTGTCTGACGCTTTCTATCATTGGTACCATGATATTACGATAATAGTCAAGTCTATTGACAAAAATACTACTTGTATTCAGATATTTATTTATTTAGGCCTAGAATATTCTACTACTTACCAGTATATTTGTATAATAATTTATGTGAACCAGATATTATTATCAGGTGTAGCATATTGTTGTGTCTGAAATTAGAAATAAATAAGTGGAGGATAGATGACCACCACTGCCAGCCGCGCAGCCAGGATTTTCAAAATCGGAAATTCCCATTGCCGCCTGTAACACCCACCGCGATTCCGCGCTCGTTGAAAGAGCCGTATTTTCAGCGTATAATGATCATCCTGTTACGTAAAATATTCAATCCATGACAGCTACGAGATTCTAAAATATCTTTATATAATAATTTAATGTGTCCAACGTAACTCGCGGTTTCTTCTTCTTACGCCAAAAAAAACATTACTATTCGGTCCACGGCGATCTGTGACCTAAACGTACGAGATAAACTGCCTGATGTATTTAATTTTAATACATATTTTTGCAATCTTGCCAACTCGTTATCGCCCTTAGAAAAATCTCAGATAATGAAAATTCTGCTAAGTGTAGAGTATGATTCATTTCATACAATGAATATACCGGTACATATAAAGTTTAGCAGTAAATTAAAAATACATATTCATCGCCGCGATTATGCCACCTGTTAAAAGAGTCGACTTTTACAACAAATAATATACCAACGAATATATATTTTTCTGTTGTGCAAAGTGATGAATTCGTGACCTATACGGGCATATTTAAAATATCCTGCTTTATTAATTTAATTGTCTTCAATTTAACCTGCGGTTGCGTCGACAAAATAAAATCCTCACCACTTTAATATACCATTGCAATCCGTGGTCATAAAAATAAGTACGTGTGGTAAACTGCCCGATTAACTATTGTTTTGATCCGTATTTTGCGAATTTGGCAAATATTTAGATGTACTTGTTAACAGTGACTCCGCTCAATCGAAATGCTGCCATTCTGATTATTTTCAGATAAAACCGTTCGAAAAATCCATAAATCTGCTGTAACATCTCAGAGTAAAATTTATTTCATCACAATAAAATTGATTGAATATACTTTAGTTAGATTAATTATATACATCCTCACAACCAGGGAAAAAGTCGCGTTTTAAACCTTGTATAATGTTAACGCGAAAATATTCGACAGCAATTTAAAGTAATGGATAATCAGGAAAATCCCGCCATCAATTTGTGACGATATGTTCCTAAACGCCGACCAAACATAATGTGTGCCAAAGGCACACGAAATGTTACGATTTTCACTGCCTAGAAAGCGTTTTTTCAATTTTCGCGGGCCCCAGCAAAACTTATATTATTTACGTTTTATTTTCAGTATTTTAAATTGCCGCTTTTCAATCAAAATGTTGCGTTGTTTTTAGAAACTCGCCGCCGATGAACGTATTCACCGGATTCACAATTTCGTGCGAGTACAAAAATAAAATATTTGTTATCGTGGAACAAATTTGTGAAAAATTTTCGTTTTAAAGAAAATAACACCAAACGTAAAGGCGTTTACGGCTTAAATAACATGTTACACTGATAAGTGATGAAAACAATCACGCGCAAATTTCTATCGAGAATGTTTTCATTCAACGGAAATGTCTTGAAAGCGACGTTGAAAATGTGTGACGTCACACAAATGTCCGATATTCTTATGAACGCTAATTCCGATATTCGAATAAGGAGATATTCGAATTGGCCATCCCTGAATTTCCGGTTAACAGAAATTTTGACCTTCGCTCCTGGGAGTCTAAATTGTAAAAAGGGGCAGTTTGTGTATCATACATGGCAATTCTTCATAGCTAGAAACAATTAAATATTCAAGGCTATTGAAAACCGGGCTTCGACCAGACTCGTTAGCTGTTAGGGTCTAACTTGGCGATCACTAATTTATGAAGCCCCACCTCTAACAATTTTCTGGCTACACTCTCTATCTCAGCTACTACATTCTGCTACTGATTGATTTAGTTATGTTTAATTTTAGCAATGACAATGAGAAAATTTTTAAATTTCGACTCCGGGGCTTTTGACAATATGTCTTCAACTCCAATAACAATGAAGTGAGCCAAATGGGTTCAAAATTCTGTTTTTTTGGGGGGGGGAGGGGGGGGGGTATTGGATATGATCCTATGTAGTAAATCACTGATTGATTTGCAATGTTTTGTTCATGGTGGCCAGTGGCAATAAATTTCGAAGGTGTATTTGCCACTGAGCTTTTCACTGATAATGGGTTCTGGAGCTTCAGAATTTAGACAAATCCATGTGGTATTTCTTACATGATATGGATGGGAATGTAAACAAGTTGTCCAAGATGATGCACTTGATTCGATAACATACCGTAATTAACTGTTCGATTCCCCCACAGTGAGCCAGGACTTGTAATGGGAGGAGGTCTTGGTTAATCGGGTTTCTGGCAACTAGCGCTATCCATGATTCTGAACGTGAACACAAATGTACCAGGCAGGTAACTGTCTTAACCAAATTTAGAATCTTTTTTTGATTATCGTCAACGAACGTGAGAAACCCCAAATATATGTAATATCTTGGGAGTGCAAAATAAATGTGACAAAATACCTTGTTTTGCGATATAACTTTGTGTTTCTGGAGTAATCGTTTTAGAGAAGTTTTCAATTTATAGGCAAATAATATTTGATCTAAATTTATCACAAATATTTTTTTAACTTTCAACGCAATGCTTTTGGTATACATCATTATTTTTGCTGAAATCGTGGGCAAAAAATATTTTGATTGATGTAAAATGGAGCATGGTAATCGAAATATTGCCAGTAAATCGGCACCAATAATTATTATATATTAACTAGTTAGTAAAGATGGAAAATTAAAAAATTGTGCAATAACGAGTCATCGCCGTTTGGTGCTGATCGCCGTCTTCTGATTTTGGATATATCGAGTGAGATTACCATCTTTGACGTTTGCCGCTTTTTCTTTGAGAGCAAGTGTAATCAAACAAGAGATATTTTGACACGAGAGAAATCGCTCGACTTTGATAAATAAATTGGAAACCCGAAATACAAAAATTAACACCTGGCGCCAAACAGGCGAAAACCTAATCCTCTTAATGAACCCTTTGGGACTCGACCCAGCCCCCCCCCCCCACCCCCCACCCCCCCACCCCCCCTACATGGAACTTTATTTATCCGGATTTCAACTCAAATTCTACCTGATTTTGTTTATTAATTGCATTAGATGCATGGTCAAAACAAAACAGAACCCCTCACACACACACAAACCAAATGGGCTATAAATATGATAAAAAAAGTGTACAAAATATGGTAGAAGCACCGAATCTGCTAAAAAAAAGATTACAATTGTATATATATAATACAATACAATTTTATCGTGTACAGTTAAGGCTGGCGGATAGGAAAAGTGTTTCCCTCATATAAATTAAAAACACCAAATAAAGTTTTCGATAAAACTCGAGAGTAAATTTGAAACAAAGTAAAATTAAAACCCTTTAGAGGAAAGGTTTGTTTTGTTTAGTTCACCAGAAAACATTAACATAACAAAATACAATTCACAGCAAAAAGTTCTTATCAACGATGCGATCGATCGAAGTCAATTACCACCCAAATATTCATAAACTTGAAAAAAGCGGTGTTCAAAAACAACAAAATTAGTAAATTTTCATGAGAAAAATAATTTAGTTACACGTAAGCGATACGCAATCATTCATAAGCCGTGAAGGTAAATTAAATTTGAGACAAATTAAGTTCTCGATCAATTATGGTATTATTCTAGGTTATATGAATATATATTTAAGTAATTAAAAGAATAATTGCATACAATCATGTGACATTAGTTAGTTCCATTTAAGGAATACAAAACATCATTATATGAAAATGGTGATCAAATCAGCGTATATATGTAGGCCCTAAAAAGACAAATTAAAACAAAAATACTAACATCTGGCAAAACCATTTAATGGTTTACCTCATACGTGAAATCGAAATGGTCACGCTGCTCCAGTGCGGTGCATCCCAAAATAGGACTTGCTATAAGCGTTGTGTGAGGCTAGCTCTACGTTTTCTGGTACTTTGTATCGCAAAAATACTCTATTTGACTTTGCAAGCCGGAATAAACCTTCCTGGTATAAAGTGACTAGCCCGCCCTCTAGTGCACAATTCAGATGCTGGTTCTCGCTTAGTATACTGTAATACTTGGAATCGTCCTTGTAGTTTTGGACTCCTACTTCCATATGCACCCTGCAAAAAAAAACCATCTCTTGAAAACGGGTAACTTATTATGACATTACTCAATGGGATAAAAATCGTTTTAATTCCCCACTGTTCATCGTACATAATTATCAATTTATTCAACCTTTCCCTAGTTTGGTCTCCAAGATACTATGATTTTACATCAATTTTTGGTACTCCTGTAGTATGTGTACCAGGTTGTGGTGAGGACATCATTTTTTTCGATTTTCTTTATTTTAGTTTTATTACGAGTTCATGGACAGTCTGTGTTAGCCAGGTGAATATACCCCCTGCCCATAGGCTTATCTCTCTTTACATAACTTGATGTAAAGTAGACGAACAAAATTAGTTACCTCCATATTGGTACACATACTTACGAAGCGCGTCATTTTTTTATAAAAAAAATCAAATCCTGCAAAAATAGCAAATTTTGTCGCGTCAAGACATGTATTGTGTATTGACCACGAATGTCGACAAGTTTAAAAATCGAGCTGAAATACACCAATTACTTTTTTATTGTGGCGTGGCACGTTCTCCTCGTTCGAGAAATCATGCTAAGCATCTTTGATTGCCCTGTGCCAATTTGCAGGATCGAATCCCGTTTTGGAATATTTATGTGCAAAAGGATTGCTGAACTCCTTGTTCACGTGAGCCCTAACGGCTTCCCTACCATCGAGTACATGCATTTGATACAAACAACTGACTACTTAATCCCATACCGGACATGGATTGGTGGCAGGACGAGAGGCAGTGGTATGCCGACTTATCGGTTTTTCTAACGCCTAGCTTGATGCGCCAACAGACGGGTCAAATAAATAATATTCGAAGTAACATACCTTTTTCCTTTCTTGTCTCCCTCCGTACACACAAAAGTAATTTTTGCGTAGACATGGTAAAGACCAGATTCCTGCAAAACTGCAAATCCGTCCTCATATGACCCGCTGGGTCCCGTTGACACCGAGAAAGTCGATCTATGTCGTTCGTAGTTGGTTATTCTAGTCCAATGGGTTGCGTTTGCTGGAAAAGAACTATATTTGAACACAATAATCTAGAAAAACATATTCCCCAATCCTATGAATCTCGCTGCCCGATACCAGCCTCGGTCCCAGCATACAGCTTATATTCTCAAATTAAAAATGTGTACTCAATTTATTTTTAATTTTGTATGTCATTTTTTATTGGATGGAAAATATACACTTGAATAGTACTTTTCGAAACAGGCAATTTTAAGTGCTCTACCGTAGGTGAGTATTACTCTCAAATTTCGCCTACCCATGAGTAGTTTCAAGTCCACCGAGTCAAATTTACTTGTTCAATATGTGCCTCAGAGCATCAGTCCACCATTTCACTTAGGGGGTTATTAAATCGGACAGACAATGCCGAAATAGAAAATTGTGGGCTGGCTACGATTTTGCATGTCAACTTGGTGAACGATGTCCAACCGAAAATTGTCGACCCTCCTATAAATAGCTCTTTTCGGGAAGAGAAAAAAAGACCCATAAAATTCAACACCGTATCGTGTATAAGTAGTGAGTCAACTTACATTGATTTTCTTCGACCAATGGGAACCAATGTAAAACCATCATGTTTGTTTGTTCCGAGAACTTCTCTAAATATTCTGCCTGATCGTCTGTCATTTCTGTGGAAAATTATGAAAAAATTGTAAATAGAATAAGAGAGCTATGCTCAAATATATGGACACGTAGCGCCACCCAGTGGCAATAATTTTGATGACGTCATAGCGGGGGGGAAAAAAGTAATAGCCTTCTGGAGAAAAATTTTATCTTTAACCACTGAAAATATCAAAGCAATTGGTCCAGTATTCGAAGAGAAAAGCGATTTTTTAAAAATGGAGACGGAGACAAATAACAATAAAATTTTGAAACGATCGTTATGGCCACTAAACGTGTCCAATAAACGTGTCCAATAACGTGTTTTCAACAAACGTTACTCTTAGTGTAAGAATGAACATATGGCTCCGTGATATACTTTAATGGCTCCGAAATGATCGTTCTTACTAAAATTCAAGATTCCTCTTCGACATTAAAAGGCTATGTGGCAAGCCAGACACATAAACTATCTCATGAGGAGGGAGACATTGGAATAGAAATTTAAAAATAAGTGTTACCCACATTATAATTCATATCATATTAAATAAATGTAAAGTCGCGATATATTTTGCATAGTACTGGCCGCTCTTGCTAAGCTTCTTTGTAAGCTTTTCAGCTAACATACGGAACTAATTTTTGCAAATTTATGATTTCTTCCAATATTGGACAAACAAATTTAAATAAAATTACCATTATTTAGCATTTCCATTTCTCTTTTCATGCCATCGTCTATTTTCTGAAAATATAAACGACCTTAAAAAATAAACGAATGAAGTCAAAAATGCAATTCTGTTGTTTAAGAGAAAATTTATTTTTACAATTTTCTTTAATATTGGCATATTTTTTGTATTCAAAATTTAAATATAAAAGATTAATTTTTTTTTTTACCATTTTTAATCGACCGAAAATAGTCAGTAAATATCTAGCACGAATATATTCTAGCACGAAAGTTTTTTCAGAAAACACATTTTTAACAACACCTTGCAAATGTATTATTGCCTACTTATAACGTGCTTCAAATTTCAGAGATTTGCTAGAACTTTGACTGCTAAATATTATGCACTTTCTGGCGTATCGAGACCCAGACTATCACTGTGGAAAGTAACCAGCGATAAAAAAAAAATTTAATGACCATAAGACGCACTTTAAATCCTATTTGTTCTCGAAAATCGACCGTGCACATTATAAGCCGATGCGCCTAGTATTATTCAGGTAGTGCGTCATTTTTTTTACGTTTTATCCACTAATTTTCAATGTGTTTTTTGAATAAAACATACTTTTATCTGTGATTTGTAGCATATTGTTAGCTAGTTATTTTTGAGGTGCGGCGCAAGACTTGACAAACTCGGACGGAGGTGCGACGCGAGACTTGACAAACTCGGACGGAGGGGTGGACCTTAAAAAGTTTGAGAATAATAGCTCTATTGCCTACCGTAGTACCTGTTACTATAATTTCATAAACAAACCGCCGACTTTCTTAAAAACCGCTGCGTCTTATAGATTCAGATTCAGATATTTTATTTTGTCATGCATGAAACATTATCATCAAATAACAATAATAATAATAAATTAATGAAAAAGAAACAAAAACAAAGACACACAATGTTCCGCAATAGACGAGGAGTCGCGAAAGACTATGAAGTCATCGTGTCAGCGACACCTATATGCTGATTTACAGCAGCAAATAAAGAGGAATAACTGGGTTTAAACATACAATACTAAATAACATAGAAACAACAACAACGATATATTAAAAATAAAGTACGTAAATATAAAAAGCCATAAGGATTTATATGGCGCCATCAAGCGATTACGATATACCTCAATGAACATTATAGATAAAAACTCAATGTAAGTAATTCATCAACAGTGCGCCTTATAGTCAGAGACGTCGTATGGTCCTTTAAAAGTACTCCCGTAGTGTGTGTACCAGGTTAGGGTTAGGCCATAATTTCATTCCTATTTTAGTTCTATTACGAGTTCGGGGACTGTCTTTGTTAGCCAAGTGAATATACTCCCTGTCCATAGACTTCAGTCCCTCTCACAACATGATGTAAAGTAGGCAGACAAAATTAGTTGCCTCCATATTGGTTCATACACTTCTGGAGCGCCCCTTTAAATACGGTAATATAAAACTTTAATAGAACAAACCTTTTCCACGTACTCTCTTGATTCATGAGTATTTTGACATTTTTCGGGTAGAATTGACTTTTTAAACAGCTTTGAAATTCGCCAACCATGATTTGCACACTTTCTTCGTAGTTTTTTGCTGTAAAAAATTGAAAGAAGTTATTGTAGAAATATTGATGGAAAATATTTGCGAGTTTGCGTTTTAATTTGAAGAAAACTCAATAAGTTACAAATTTTTGGCAAGTTTTAAGTTGTATTTATCGCATCAGTCAATAGCAACCCTCAAACAGTTCGCAGCGAGCGATAACGGCTGCAGAGAGACGAATAATATTTGCTTAACGATGTGTACATCGTCTATTTTAAGGTCCTATAATTTTCCGTAGCTGGTAATTTGTTTGCCTTTTTTGTTTGTTTTAGATAGACGCTAATTCGTGTGCAGTGGCGTATCTAGGGTGTGGCAGCCAATCAAATTGGATATAACTTTCACTCAAATAATAACGTACAAGTAACTCATTTCACTAATAGACGTTATAAATTGTCAAATAACTATTAATCGAGGGTGCATTTTTTATGATAAATTATGAATTCCATTAAATGCCAAAAGCTATTGAAACTATACGGATTTATAGTGGGGTTTTATGCACCAGTATGTACCAAATATTTATATATATATAAATCAAGCATATCGTTTGGTTCACTTCTTTCAATAATAAATTGATAGATAAGCTAATCGTATACAATTACGTCAACCGACGGAAAATACCATCTGGGAAATATCATCAACAAACATGCGAGATAAGAGCTTTATCGTGCAACTCCCTCGATCACATATGGTTGTCGGTCGGTTCCTGAGGAAGCATGCTCTGCGAAATATCAAGCTTATCGTTAAATACAATTTCATATGCTCACTCCAACAATTCAGCTCTAGTTTTTTGTGTCATGAGAGCCATGTATATATAAAAAATAGCTCAAGGAATTTGTCGAGATTGCGATTAAATGTGGTTTTGGCATGGGGTTATTGTTTTCCACTTTTGCTTTTGTGACACTGTAAATATTGTCCATAAAATGTAACTTTTCACGTTACACTTACATGGCCCGCCAGTTGAGGTGGGCAAAGTTGTTGGCCCCTTGTCCAAAAACCTTCCTATCCCCTTTTTATAACGAACGTCCTGTATTAAATTAAACAAAAGAATGTCGATGTGCTCCGTGTAACTGATGAAGGGGCTTATAAAGGCGTATTATGTGAAATAAAAAAACTAAAAAAAAAATGATTGAAATAAAACGAACCTTGTTTGTATATATTGAGAACCGATTTCATTACAAACAGAAATTTTTACTTCATGTATTATGCACATCATAAAATGAAAACGTAACAATTTTTTTCGCTCCCTTTGTGCGCCATTGTATCTTTGTTAAATATAATTAGTGTTTATACAGATGATAACTCAAGCACGGGTTGCCTTTTCAAATACCAGTCGAGGTCGAGAATGGTAATGGGTCATTATAACAAATTATTAATTATCCAGATAGGCCTCGGGTTGGAAATGATTTGAAAATTTGAATTTCCATGGCAATATGCATTCCTATATAGTTGTTCGTTCGGAAATCACCCTGCGACGACGAGAAATTCTGCAATCCCATTTTAAACATAATCCAATACCAGTGTAAACAAAACGACGTAATTTGCCGACGTATCGATTTTCTTTATAAAAACATGCCATCGTGTTTTTATATCATCTCGAATTGTTGTTGGGAGTTCCTCCTCGCTTTAGAATTTCAAATAAAAACATTTTTTGCTTGACGAATAAATCATTGTTTAAATGAGGAACTGTAATAGCTGAACCACATCACCCCACAATCTATCAAGTAAATATTATAAAAATAAAGTATCCTCTTTGTATCACGGTTCCCCATACTTGACATCACTCATTTAGTATGCAAAATTTTATGCGGAACATTTCTTGTAAAAAACCCTAAACCCTAATAAAAAGCTTTTTATTTCAAGTGAAAATACCAGAAATTGTAAACGCATACATAGTGTATGCATGATGCATGCATAAAACATATATATATATATGAATATTCGAACGTTAAACCCTTTTTTTCTTAATAAGTGCAAAATAGCGTGGCGTAATCTGGAACTCGTTCATTTTTTTGTTTCGAAACTACCACATGCAGAACAGAAAATACGCGGTTTTGACTCGTAAATATCGCTGAAACTGCACTATCGCTTCGTTTGAACGAAGCTTGTATAAACTTGCTTAAAGACCATGATGAAAGCATCGCGAATAGAGCCAAGCAGAACTGTTTTAGTTCCAATTTAAAAGGTCATTCTACGGCCCGTTGGGTTATTTAATCTGGCCCACATGATGTTGCCGCAACCAAACTAAAACCAGATTTTGATGTTTTTGATGAAATACCGTTGATGTAACATGCGGAACTTCATTGTCTCTCAGGTCAAATTTCACCCTTTGTTGCAGATCCACGACTTATTTATAGAACAAATGAACACACTAGTAACTAGGAAATACCCACACAAACAAATAATAGGCCGCGTAAATCTTTTGTAAGGCACCCAGATGAAGTTTGTTCAAGCTTTATAAGCAAACCCAAAAGCAGAACCATTCAACTTCCACTTTATAACGTCATTCTATCATGCAGTAAATATGCTGCTGAACCAATGAATGAACGTAAAAATGGACCTGCGTCCTACATTTTATTAACTTTAACCTTTCCTCCGATTCGATAAAAATAAACGAAAATCGTGATCTCATGGACTTTTCAAACTTTTTACTCGAGCTTGTGTAAATTTGCACAATAGGTGCAAATATGCCCTTTGGGACCGCTTTTCATCTGTAAATATGATTTGTATATTTTTTGTTGTAATAACTTTGCAGAACATAAGGTAATAAACAAACACTCGCATAAATACGTGTCGTCGCTCTTTGTTCACACATATTGCAAATCTGTTTAGTTAGCAATTGCATTCATACACGGGTTTTGGATTTTGGGTTCAAGTCACATTAGCGTTTGAGCTACAAAAAATCACTATGTATGATATGTGAAAATTGATTTTTTTTAATTTCAAAACGAGGGGGGGGGCGACTCCTCTGCAATATATATACAAAACACTCTTACCAATCATTACTACGTGAGCAATCCGAACCCCCATTCCTGTGGCACAAATCACATGTCACACATTGAAGTTGCATCTTTAGTTTTTCCAAGGTATGAACTTTGTCTTCATTGCTATTTCTGTCAGTAATCAAGAGCGAAGCCCACATTGATATTCCTAGCACTATTAAACACGTTGAGACGGCAAAGCAAGGCTGATGCTGTTCACGGTTCACACACTTCACCATTATATCCTTGTCAATTAGTAATTTAAAGCTATTAAAATATATAAGCACTTTATATTAATCGCAATGGCAATTCTGATAAATTTCTCTCTGGCAAGTGGCAATGAACTCAAAGTTGCAAAATGTCACTTTTAGTTTTGTCTGCAAACGCAGGGAATTTTATATCGGCGATTCCTATTATTTCGATTCCTATATTTACAATGCTCGAATATACGTGTCATTTACCGTGTCTCAAAATATACTTGAATGATCATTCTGAAATAGCAATTTGAGGTTTAACCGACTTGCGTTTTTACGGCAATTCAGATTCAACGGCCGTTACGTTCATACTGTGTTTCGTTGTTAAATCGTTCCTTTGACAGAATAAAGAGCGTGGTCTAGCAATAGAATGCCAGTTACTCTTTATTACACTTAAAATTGCTCTGAACTATTCAGGCGAAACACGATAGTGAAAAACTATGTGGGTTTGTAGAAGTCTGATCTCAGCCAGACGGAACGTTACAAAATGCATTTGCGTTGGTTTGCCGCAAGACTTTTGAATCAAATATAATGATCATCTTTATTCTTGCTACAGAACCTTTGCATTATATGCACACCGATCACACACATGAAGCAAGGAATGTAAGTTAGCCTCGCGCTACATCAATCATTACCTGATATTAAGGATATCCAAGCCCATTTTTATAACAAATCTTAAAACCAATTGTTGCAATCCCTATTCACAGACTCTTCCCATTAAAGAATTATAAATAGAAACATTGCATTACATTCATTGTAGCCAAATTCTAATTTGGAACCAAGTAAATTCGCAGCAGTAAGCTGAGTACATTTTCTACCATCACCAGTTTTGCTGTGTTCTGTGAATTGATATCATAGACTAGAGTAAATATTTATTTAAATACAGCTCGATTCAACGGTATACCGAGTATATTGTATACCGAGAACCGCAGATTGACGTCTGCTAAATTCTGTTTGGCGATACTATTTATAATACAGACGCGAAGTGACGAAAGAGAGCGAATCTAGTGCAAACCAAACAATGAATATACAATGTATACGTAACCGATACGAAGGTTTCGCCTTCGCCAAACACAAAGAAGCTAATTCAAGACAAGCAGAAGGAATATCGGTGGTTTCCACAAGAAACAATATGTTTTACCTTCTAGGACTAGATTCCCATATTACGGATGGTCTGGTTTATGACACGTTTATTTAAAAATAAAACTGTAAAATAGGGTCTCAAGAACCATCCCTTATAATCAAAATACTAAATCGATTCCAGTGCCAGTTACGCCAAAGATATATTTGTGATATGTAAACTATATTATCGTTATTATCTGATCTATAACAGAGGATAGAATTTTACATATTTATCTCGGGGAGAGGAAAGCCGATAATATGGTGTAATCACATCAATTTATATTGAGTTAACAGCCTGATTTAACACAAAGGTTTCAAACAAGTAAAATCGCCATAAAAAAATGTCGTCCCGGAAAAATAATCCGGGACGACAATAAGTTGTAGTTTTTTTCGACAGCATTACAAACGATAAAATAAGCCGAATAAAAAATGGTGAAAAAACTATTTGTATCATTTGTACAATGCCTCCGCCACTAATGCAAAAATGTGAGATTTGACGAAAACACCTATACCACATTTTTAAATAACAAACTATCCACTTTTCAGCGCAATTTGCATTCCTTACCCTAACCTTAACTGGATAATGACTAATTTTCCTATTTTGAGCGTTGGAGGGGGATGTGCAAAAAGATCCATCTTTTTGAGATTCTAATACAGCTGAATGCGATGTTGACATTGCAGGTTATATGTCTTGGGTTCCGACTCCATGCCTTGAACCTCATCCAGAGTGTAATAAATTGGGTAAACAGTGCTAAATCGGGAAGACTCTCGACCCTTTATCATACGGCAAACCACGACTTCTCGTCCGGATACCAATCTATTTATGAATACTCGCGACCCAATCCTAAACATCGCAAAAATATATTTTTATTGTTAGTACTCTTTGACTCAGATACAGACAAAGATTTGTTGAAAACACTTCATTATCTCAGTGTGATTGGTGAAACGGAAATTTATCTTCCATTTTATTTTCAATACACGGCTCTATTTTACTGAGCGCAATCCGCAAGTCGTCACTACAATCGAGGCGATAGCGAGCCTTAGTTTTAACAACCGTTAGTGCCGAAAATCTTTGCTCGCGGTCGCCAATGATAGCAGAAAAGAAGCCACATTCTCTCTAGATCTCGAATCAGTCAATGTTGACAACTTTATTGTCTTTGCAACTAAGATTCACATTACCAAAGAAGGCATCTATTTTTGGTGATTTTGCTTCAGTATGATGACATTCCGCGCGGTCAACAAAACGCAAAGCGATGTGCATGGTTGTCGTCACAACATTGTTGCGATGCAACAGTGCGCTCAAAACAGTTCTTTGCGTGGATGACATATTATATTTCGTTGTTTTTGAATACCAAGTTAAAAAAGTAAATTGAGACATTGTACTAGCTGAAAGATTCGGCCGCTACTCTTAGATCGCCCTTGCATTGGCGACCTTGGCGCGATCTATACTTTAACATCCTCTGCATGGGATATGGGATCAATTAGCCGGTTATTTGTTTCAGATGCGTGGACTTGATAATAATGTTGCTAAAACGTTATCTAAAATTCCTTTCTTACACATCATTTGATAAATAAGATAACACGACGTCCTAATCATATGGCGAACCAAGCCTCTCGTCCGGATACTATTCCATACTGGGCATGGGATTAGTTATTTGTTTTCAGATGCATGTACTTGATGGTGGGGGAAGCACCCCACGGAGGCGAAGAGATCCTCTCGCATATAATTAACCCCGTACGGGATTTGAACCTGCGAACCCACGCAGGGTAATCGGAGGTACTCCGAACGCTTACCAAAATGCGCCACCCTCAAAGATTATAAGTAACTCGAGTCAAATGCCAATGAACTGGGATTAGTCAATTTAGAAATATTTTGTGGCTTTCGAGGTACTTCACTTTTGATGCATTAAAACAAAAATTGCACACAAACTATTATTATCTGCGCGCGGGTATATGGCAATTATTTTGTAGTAATTAGCGTAATCAAGAAACTTGTATGCAGTGACGTGTCCAGAGAGGAGCCAAAGGGGCAGCCGCCCCGGGCAGCACGGTATAGAAGCGAGTTTTTTGCCTGGTTTGGTGATTTTAATAAAAATAATACAAACATTTCTCTTTTTCTTTACCTTTAATTTAATATTATAACACCTATAATTTGTTTATTTCCCAAATTATTTTTGACGTTAGGTATAAGGTGCTTCATTTTCAGACTCTCACCTCGGGCAGCAGAAAAGTTTAGCACGCCCCTGCTTGTATGTCGTTTATTTGCGGAACCCGCATACCGCTAGTTATCAAAACAATAAAATCGCTGAATACGAGGAATTACGTTTTTCACTCGACGGTATGGCGCATCGAGCTGAGCGTTAGGAATCCGCTTGCCATCTCGCCCCAAGTTATTCTGCGTGGATTTTCTGGCTCGACTCCCGCATGGAGATATTGTGCGAGAGGATTGCCGGCCTCCTTGCCGTCGTAGGGTTGTCACATAACCGCTGGTTGGTTACAGCTTCCTCCAACATCAAGTCCACGCACCCTGAACAAAAACAACTTGCTAAACAATCTCTCACTCACCCGACATGAACTGACGGACGAGAGGCCGCGGTTCGCCATATGATTAGGTCGTCTCATCGACTTTCCTCTCTTCCGGGATGAAAATGAAAACCCTACGTTGTCGCCCAGTAAAAAAGGGGGATTCCAATGTCACCATGCATCAATTACGATGATGCATTGTTATGTTATAAATGTTTGCGTCATTGTGACGAATATGACCAACAGCGACGGCTGATTATGTAGTCGAAATAAACTTATACATATAGTTATACTATTCAGTACAATTACACACATTATATATACCTTAAAAGTAATACATATCTCACAAAAATTTTGTGTCCCAACTATTTTTACCAAGAATTTTCACTATGTGGAATATACTTCTTCATAGACGACATAAACTAATTTTAGTTTCGCGTCGATCAATATTTGATAACGCTCAAATCTGCACTGCAACCGGTTAAAAAACTAATAATAAGTCTCTCACACTTTTGTTATGAAATAGACAGAACGCTTCATTGTAATTTTGTTCGAGATGAGAACGTGTATTCAGTGTTTTTTGTGCGAAGCAAATATGAGAGTCATGCTTATATTAATAAAAAGTCGCAGCACTAGAACCTCTGAGAGTCGGCCTCATTCGCTGCTGCCAGTAATCAACAATGGAGCCAACATTGATAATTTTAGTACTATTATACACAATATATATCATTGCTAATACCGTAAAAGTAATACCTACCACATACAAAATTCGTGTCTCAAGCATTTTTTCCTAGAGCTTTAATTATTTGGAACATACTACTTTATAGGTAATTTCCTGCCTGTATCGATATAAACGGATTTCGCGTCGATCAGTATTTACTAACGCTTAAATCTGCATGATTTTTCAGTCTCAGAAGTTCTCTGACCATAACTTGCGCTTTACGGCAATTTAGATTCAATAACTATCAGTTAGGGTTTGCGCGAAACTAACTACCTTTCCTTGCTCTATGCTTTTGTGGAATTGGACCTCTGTCAGACGAAACGTTACAGAAATACATTTGTGTTAGTGTGTCGCAAGTCTCTTGAATTACATAGAATAGTCATCTTTACTCTTGCTACAGCATCTTGCGTTATACGTATCCACTTGCACAAAGACTTAGACCAGGGGTCGGCAAGGCCAAAATTAAGGGTTGCAAGTCATTGACGGCCCGCACATATTTTTAGGAAGTTGAAAACCGAACGGATGATACTTTTTATGATAAAATTCTCGAATAAAATATAAATTTATTTCTTCATTGCATTGCACCTCAAAAAATTTGAATATTTCCGGCGTCATTGAAACCTTTGCACTCAGAATCATTTTCGTCGTTTTGTTGCCATTTGTCTAATTATAATTAAATTATCGGCTCATTAAACGAGTAATTGTGAATTATATACTCGTTAAGTTATAATATAATTTATTCCACATGTGTCTCACAATAAATTCTGTTACGTAAAGAATACAATCGTCAAAAAAGTTGTTTTGTTACTATAATCTAGTGAAGCGTCGCGGGCCGGATTAAATGACTCCGTGGGCCGAATGGGGCCCGCGGGCCGTAGGTTGCCGATCCCTCGCATAGAGTAAGGAAAAGTAGTTAGCTTCACGTAACCCCAACTGATAGTTATGCTCAAATCTGCACTGCGATTTTTATTAGTCTCAGTAGCTCTCTGACCATAACTTACGATTTTACGGCAAATGTTGTATATCGATTTTATTGTGCACTTTGGAAATGCTTAAAGGTTCGTGGATAAGCAATGAAATAAATGCGAGTTAATCTAAATTATACTTCAATTACTAAATTTAAGCGGACAAATCCGATTTAGATATTTCGGTCCACTCAGGCTCGAGCGCGGATATAAGTTTATCAACGATACCATATAGGAGCCGAAGCTCCATTGATATTTGGTGACCGTACATTTGAACCCATGTGCATTTGAACCCATGCGCATATCCACGGGTTCAATCTATATGCGGATGCTAAAACCCATGGGTTAGGGTTAGTATGGGTTTAACTATCCGTGAAACGAAAAAAAAACCATGGGTGCAATAGCATACAGGTGCAATTGTCATGGGTTCAAATGTACGTGGGTTCAAATGTAATGGAACCTTGATATTTATACCTGAACGTTATATTTAGAATAAAAGGAGTGAAATTCTATTATGATACTACGTCGCGCATACTAGCATTCCTCGAACGCCACAGCCTCTCGATCTCAAACTAAACGTACGGACGAATAACAAGGAACAAGAACGTAAAAAACTAATAAAGGGTATCCACGTACTCGAGCTTGCGTGGAAATTTTATTACTCTGTCTACACACTACAAACAAAGTTGTGACAAACGGTCGATTTTTTATTTCGCTACTTTTGTCAACAGAGAAATTGGAACCAATACAATTCAAACTATCGAAATATACGGAGGTTTCGCCGAAATACAGAGCCTTTCACGCGTAAATGAAGTAAACGCGGGTTCCATTTTACTACTTTACTTTCTATAAATGACTTCACCGAGGCGCATGAAGCAGTATGAAAATTGGGGTTTTTCTGGAATTCCAATGTTTTGCAGCGCTGATCACTGATGCGATGGTCGCCCAATTTATAACGTGTATTTTATATTTTCAATTTCTTCTTTTTTTGGTTTTGATATTCATATACTAGACCAGGCATGTTCATCTTTTTTAGTTCGCGGGCGACTCTGACATGTGGAAATTCATTGCGGGTGGCAAATATAAATATATATACCAGTTCTGATTTACGTTAGAATTTGCGTCTCGCAGGATCAAACGCTCGGATTGCAAAAATCTATAGCGAATATCTGAACACAATTGTACGCATTGACTAAATTCCATAAGTTTTAAGCAAAAAATTCAGTAGCAAAGATATTGTATGGCACACTTTTTGTTTTATGATAGATTATTATCGAAGCCTACACAAAAAATAATAATCCTAATGAATTTAATTTGGGTTGGAAATTTATTCATGTAATTTTCCTCGACCAATGATCGCACAATAGCTGGCGCTCCCGAAGTATGTGCATCAAGATGGTGCACTACCTGAGCCCTAACCTGGTACACATACTATGTTCAGGTTGTGCGCCATCTTGGTGCACATACTTCTGGAGGTCCCAATAGCTTTTGATTTTATTTAGCAAAATGCGCGGTGCTTCGAGAAATAATATCGGGTAATATTGCCATGAAATTGGGGAAAAATATTCTGATTCGCTGATCTCATAAAATTCCGTGGGATGGTTCAATAGAACCGGCTGAATCCAACCACTGAACTCATAATCAGCCCTGTATTCGAGCCTGCGAACCTACACAGAGTAATCAGTGGTGCGGTGATATTCCTAACGCTTAAAACGTTAAGCCACACCCAGTGGTGGAATTCAATTTTTTTTCAGCCGGTTTCATCACGAAAGTCATATTTTTCAACCGGTTGTTACAAACAGAACATTAACAGTAACCAGTAGAGCTAACTGGTTCGCTGATCTCATAAAATTCCGTGAGACTCCTAATCCCACCACTGGCCACACCAGAGCCTAAAGTTTGACGTTACAGTGTCTTGTCAGCTTTCTATCCTCCTACCTTGAACAAATAACAAGCTTTTCCATATAAAAACACACTCTTCTGACATATATGATTATAATTACTAGCATTCATAAATTCATGCACAAAACATTCAATCCCCAAAACTCAAAAAGCCGTGATATGAAAAAATAGTGCGAGTGAGTGGTCATGGTTTATAGAAAACCTAACCTAACATGATGCTATAAAACACTATTTTTCAATGCAAACTTGATTTATCACATGATTTTTCATAGTTTTCGAATGTGAGAAGCATTTTTCACAGTTTGTGCATTTATATGGCTTTTCTCCAGTGTGAACTCCTAAATGAATTTCCAAATTACTTTTAAGACGAAAGGTATTCCCACAAATTTCACATGAATATGGTTTTTCATCTGTATGGATTTTTGAATGCGTGTTCAGATAGCTCTTTGTTTTATATGAATTTCCACACCATGTACAAATAAAAGGTCTTTCGCCGGTCTTCTCCAGTTTGTGGTTGTTTATATGAGTGTTTAATTGGCTTTTCTGACGAAATTTGTTCCCACATTCTTTACATTCATATGGTTTTTCACCTGTGTGAATTCTATGGTGGATTTCTAAATTATGTTTACTTGTAAATGATTTATTACACACAAGACACAAAAACGGCTTCTCCTTTGAATGACTTCTCATATGTATACGTAGTAGAGTACTTGTGAAGAACTTCTTTTCACAGACTTTGCATTCAAAATCTCTTATTCCCATATGATACATTTCAATATGTGCTTTCAGATGGGACGTTTTTTTGTACGTTTTGTCACATAAATCACATTTTTGAGGTCGCTCATTCAAATGCGTATTTACATGTTTCCTAAGATCTCCTGATCGTTTAAAATCCTTTCCACATATTTCACATGAAAATGGTTTTTCATTTGAATGTACTTTTAGGTGCGCAACCAGTTGATTTTTCCTTACGAACGACTTCTGACAGATTGTGCATGAGAATATTTTTGAATCTGTGTGAGCCTTTGAATGAGTTAACAAGTTTTCTTTATTTTTATAATGTTTTCCACATTCTTTACATTCATATGGCCTTTCATTGGAATGCACAGACATGTGAAGTTTGACTTTATAAAAATTCGAAAATGATTTATTACATACTTCACATTTATATCGCTTTATATTCGCATGTAAACGTAAATGTTTTCCCAAATCACTAGATGCAGAGAAAGCTCTACCACAAATTTGGCAAACATGTGGCTTGTATCCAGTGTGACTTCAAATGTGAAGTTTTCTACCCCAGTTGCTCCTAAATTGTTTATTGCAGAAATCGCATTTATAAGCATATTCTCCAGTATGTATATATGTATGCACGACAAGACTTTCCTTTTTTGCAAACGATTTTGTGCAATACTTGCATTTGTACGCTTTATCAACTAAATGAGTTTGTTTATGGGACCAGTAGCATGATTTTGTAGCTGAAACAAATCCACAAACTTCACATTCTGTAGAGATTCTTCCAAATTTTTGCTTTGGTCCTTGGATAGATTCCGAGCAACTTTCGACATCCTTGAAAATGGAGGGGTCACCGTCATATCCAATTCTAAAATCGGCTTCATTTGGACAAACACTCGTGTTATTCATATTTTCTGGAGCAATTTCTTCAACAATTATTGGTGTAAACTCGACTTTAACATCAGTTATTGCTGCTTCAATATCCCAGTCAAGATCAAATATTCCAACTCTTTCCATATTGATCCTAGGTCTTTAAGATTATTACAAACCTAATAAAATATAACATAAATAATTGAAAAATTACATACAAACAAGATGACCATGCACGGTAAGTTCGAAAAAAAGATACTGTTGTCGGTAGTTTGACTTCACTGTGTACTCTGTTGTTGAATTAAATCACTAAAGAATCCTTGTGGTGTTGAAACATCACCAAAATTAGAAACACATAAAAAAACAAATGCATTTACCCATTGAATATTCGGAAGGAATTGGTTGAATAAAACTACTTTTTAGTCAAAAGAAATAGCAATTTGTAAAAATGATCCATGAATTCATTTGTCTAATAACAGATAGAGTGATTGAGTGCGCGCTGCAATCAAGATGTACAACAAAATAATATTAAATTCGACATTCTGGCATTTACAGAAAAGCAATTTTAAGTTTAATTGGTTTCCTCAGCATGGAACATTCTATTTGAATATGAAATATCGAATATATATTCTGAAATGGGTCTCTTCCACAAGGGAAATAAAACTTGGGAATGCAAAATAATAGAGATAAACATTGTTCTAAATTCTCTATTTTTTGCGTCAGAAGTTAGTTAACTAATCCTGGAAGGGGTTGTACTCGCTGTATTCAATTAGCAGGTCTGATTAGTAGGTCCGCAACATGAGAAGCCTACTAAGTAGAGCTCGACCGATATCACTTTTTGGCACCGATACCGATAACGATATATCGGCCAACTAGTGACCGATAACCGATATTGACATACCGATATCTACAACTCGAACCTGCAGTAAATACAAATAGAAAGAAACATTCAGTTTCAGTCAATCAAAAGTTTATGTTGAAAAATAAAGCAGTCCTACACAGTGCTTGCATCATTAATAAAAGTTTCGCAGCAAATAATAAGAACACACATTAATGCACAAGAGAAAAAAGGCAGTCAGTAAAAAGCTTATAGAAGTCCATTTTGATCCATACAGTAGTAGGTGGGAGTAGGCTTGCACGTAATTTACGGAATTGTTTGGAGTTACGGAAGGGAAGTTACAAATTACGTCGTAATTATTGGTCGAGCGCTTTCGCGTTTGAAACGTGCTCCTTCCAAGCAGTCAATTCCGTCGATTGTAAAAAATCAAAGTTTAACAAGTAGAAGAAGTTAGAGTTCCGGTATTCACAGCCGTTTTGAGCCGGCATGACGCGTTGCCACCCCGTTTGAGCAGTTGGTTTCACGGTCAAAACGATATTATTATAAGCGTTATCACCGTAATGCAATTAGCACCGACAGACTTTTTTGTCTTCACGATTAGGTATCTTTTTTATTCGGCGCTGATAATGATAAATAAGAATGTGTGATAGTTGATTGTAATTCCAGAAGGCGTATTTTTCTTTCTCTCCGTGAAACAGACATGAAACAAATTTTACCGCCGCTATAAGCGCTCAAAAGGAGAGGAGGCTAGGCTACTTTCTTTTCCCGACTCAATCACTTTTATTAATACAAATCACAGCGCATTAAAAAACAAAATAGAATTTATTAGCATTAATTTACAACAAGTTACGGGTAAGAATTTATCGCCGGCTAAATAATTATTATTTGATTTAAATTTATCGCAAATAATGTTATGATTTGATATAAAATGGAGCTTGGTAATCGGAATATCGTCAATAATTCAGCATCAATAATTATTATAAAATGCTAACTAGGTAGCAAAGTCGGATAATGTAAAAAAACGGAGCAATTACAAATCTTCGTCGCGAGGCAAGCGCAGGTATAATCAAACGAGAAAATACGCTTGTCGTTGATTAATAACTTAGAAACCCGAAATTTTTATTCAATACGAAATTCGATTTTAAAAAAGGCAACTATCGTTTCATAAATATCCGTATACCATTATCGGTAATGATAAAATTGATCGCATAAAATTGGGACGGTTAATTTGCGAACGTGATAAAGGAAAATCAAAGCCAACACAATTAAACAAGATAAAAATCAGAATAAATTTAATTTGAATTCACTCCTTGGTATTTGTCTTTAACATCTGTCGCTGGCGTGTAGTACTGTCGGTAATATGAAAACCAAACTTCGATGTCCCATTCGGAAAAGAAGTGGATTCGAATGGTTTTTATGATAGGTTTAAACGTGTGAAAAAATATCGCAATTACGGGGTCATTACGTAATCAATTTTTCCGTAATTACGGAATTGATTTTTGTCGATTACGTGCAAGCCTAGTGGGGACGCAAGATATTCGAAGGCGAGGATTTTGTGCCGCACGAAGAGAGAAATATAGAAGAGAACTCTCTGTTCATTGAAAGGCAAAATGAGAGAAGCGTAAAAAAGGAAAATGCTTGGCCGCAGATATTTCCCGGGGAAAAATACTCATTTTTTAAAACGTGGAAAAGCGACTAACGCTGATATATATCGGCCAGATATATCGGCCGATTGGGCCGATATGATATATCGGCAAACACGCGATATCGGCCCGATATATCGGTTGGCCGATATATCGGTCGAGCTCTACTACTAAGCATTATTCAACTCTTCATTTTTGCGATAGCATACTTCTTTATTAACATGTATTCCGAGATGTGATTGCTGTGAAAAACTTTTTCCACAATTTCTACATTGATACGGTTTTTCTCCAGTGTGAACTCTCATATGAGTTTTCAAATTACTTTTTTCTCGAAATAATTTCCCACATAATTCACATGAATATGGTCTATCGTCTGTATGGATCTTCAAATGCAATTCTAAGTAATATTTTAAAGCGAACGATTTCCCACATATTACACACATAAATGGCTTTTCGCCAGTCTTCTCCAACTTGTGCCTGTTTTGATGGGCTTTCAACTGATTACTTTGTCTGAATCTTTTCCCACATTCTTTGCATTCATATGGTTTTTCTCCTGTGTGAATTCTTTGATGAATCATTAATTGTGACTTATCTACAAAGGATTTATTACAGATAAGACATGAGAATGGTTTCTCATTCAAATGAGTTCTCATGTGCAAACGCAGCGAGGAATTTTCAAAAAACTTTTTTTTGCAAACCTCACATTCAAAATTTCTAATACCAACGTGTTTTTTCATAAAATGGCTTTTCAGATGTGTATTTCTTTTGTAAGATTTTTCACAAAGTTTGCATTTATAAGGTCGCTCATTAGTATGTACTACCTTCAGATGTCTCTGGAGATCTCCTGAGCATTTGAAGGACTTCGCACAAATCTCACATGAAAATGGTCTCTCATCAGAATGCACCTTAAAATGAGATACAAAGTTAAAATGCTTCGTAAATGATTTTTGACAGATTGGGCATGAGTATATGTTTGAACTTGTGTGAGTCTTCACATGTGCACGCAAGCTTTCTTTAGTCTTAAACTTTTTCCCACATTCTTCACATTCATGTGGCCTTTCATTTGAATGTACAGTCATGTGGAGTTTTAATTTGTAATTACTTGAGAATGCTTTGCTGCAATGTTCACATTTATATGGTTTTATATTTGCATGTGCTCGTAAATGTTTTCCTAAATCACCAGATCCCGAGTAAGCTCTACCACAAATTTGGCAAACATGTGGCTTGTATCCAGTGTGGGTTCGAATGTGAAGATTTCTACCCCAGTTGCTTCTAAATTGTTTATTGCAGAAATCGCATTTATAAGCATATTTTCCAGTATGTATGAACGTATGCATAATAAGACTTTCTTTTTTCGCAAATGATTTTGTGCAATACTTGCATTTGTAGGCTTTATCAATTAAATGAGTTTGTTTATGGGACCAGTAGCATGATTTTGTAGCTGAAACAAACCCACAAACATCACATTCTCTTTGATTTCTTTTACGCTTTTCTTTTGGCCTCTGGATAGCTTTTGAGAAACTTTCTACATCCTTGAAAATGGATGAGTTGACATCAAATCCGATTCCAAAATCAGCTTCATCTAGACAAGCACTCATGGTATTCATATTTTCTGAAGCATTTTCTTCAACAATTATTGGTGTAAACTCGACTTTGACATCAGTAATTCCTGCTTCAAAACTCCAGTCAAGATCAAATATTCCAACTCTCTCCATATTGTTTTTAGATTTTTAATTAAGTTAATTACGAACCTAACAAAATATAACATAATCAAGTGAAAAATTCACAACGCCAAGGGATTGGGATGGATTTCGAGAATTAGCAATATTTTCATTTGAGTATTATTTCAGCATTTGAAATAATTAGCTTAGACACAGAAACGATTTTCTTTTAGTTCTGACACCGAGAAACAAAATCAATCGAATATCCTTTATTTGAACAATTTCACATTCCAAAATTTAATTGCTATAAATTTTTTATTATTTTTTGCAAATCACTCTGTCAAACCCAATTCAATTTAGATTATTTCCAATATTACATTTTTGATTGTATTCAGAATGGTGGATTATACGATTTGAACATCTTTGAGTTCAGCCTAAAGTATATTATTATTCCCAGTCTTCTGTGAATTTATCATGCCATGCCAAATATGAAAAATGCACAGACTTAAAATTTAAGTAATGAACAATGCTATGAAGTCAATTTTCAACAATGTATCAACTCTACTGAAGGCGAGAAAATGAGAACTACCAAGCATTATGCTATTCTTCTTCTTTTCCTGAAGCATACTCGTCTATTAATATGTATTTTGATATTCGATTGCTGTGAAAAACTTTTCCCACAGTTTTGACATTGATACGGTTTTTCTCCAGTGTGAACTCTCATATGAGTTTTCAAATTACTTTTATCTCGAAACAATTTCCCACATAATTCACATGAATATGGTTTATCATCTGTATGGATCTTTAAATGCAATTCTAAATATTGTTTTAGAGCGAATGCTTTCCCACATATTGTACAGATAAATGGCTTTTCGCCTGTCTTCTCCAACTTGTGCCTGTTTTGATGGGATTTCAACTGATTACTTTGTCTGAATCTCTTCCCACATTCTTTGCATTCATATGGTTTTTCACCTGTGTGAATTCTTTGATGAATCATTAATTGTGGTTTATCTACAAAAGATTTATTACAGTTTAGACATGAATATGGCTTCTCATTTAAATGAGCTCTCATGTGCAGACTGAGCGAGTATTTTTCAAAAAACTTCTTTTGACAGATCTCACATTCAAAATTTTTGATTCCTACATGTTGCTTTGTAATATGGCCTTTCAAATGCGAAGATCTTTTGTAGGATTTTTCACAAAGTTTGCATTTATGTGGTCGCTTATTAGTATGTACTTCCTTCACATGTTTCTGACGATCTCCTGAACATTTGAAAGACTTTGCACAAATTCCACAGGGAAATGGTCTTTCATCAGAATGTACCTTAAAATGTGCTACGAAGTTCAAATGCTTCGTAAATGTTTTCTGACAGATTGGGCATGAGTATATTTTAGAGCTTGTGTGAGTCTTCCCATGTACATACAAGTTATTCTTGGTCTTATAACATTTTCCACAATCTTTACATTTATATGGCTTTTCATTTGAATGCACAGCCATGTGAATTTTTAATTTAGAGGAATTTGAGAATGCTTTGCTGCATTGTTCACACTTATATGGTCTTATATTTGCATGTGATCGTAGATGTTTTCCTAAATCACCAGATCCAGAGTAAGCTCTACCACAAATTTGGCAAATGTGTGGCTTGTATCCAGTGTGGCTTCGAATGTGTAGCACTTTCCCCCAGTTGCTTCTGAACTGCTTATCACAAAAATCACATTTATAAGCATATACACCAGTATGTACAAATGTATGAATAGTCAAACCTTCCTTTTGTGCAAAAGATTTTGGACAAAACTGGCATTTGTAGGCTTTATCAACTAAATGTGTATTCAGATGGGAACAGTAACTTGGTTTTGAAGATAAAATTAATCCACAAACTTCACATTCGCAGGGAATCCTCATGTACTTTCTCTTTGGCCTTGGAACAGATTTAAGAGAGGAACTTACAAGTGCGGGGCTTCCAATATTTGCAATTTCATAATTTTTCCCATCATAACAAGAATTCTTGTTACCCAATATTTCTGATACATTTTCTTCAATAATTGTTGGAGTAAACTCGACTTTTACTTCAGTTATTTCTTCTTCTAAATCCCATTCGAGATCAAATAATCCAACTCTTTCCATTTTACACAGTTTGAAATAAATCAAGAATTATTTTAACAGAAATCTGAATAGCATGAGAATAACGATAGCGAACAAGATTTTATTGTGAATTTAATGCTGTAAATAGGGCACAATTGTTTAGTCTATGATAGGCCCGCCAGAGCTTTTGTGTGGCATAAATACCGTCCTCACAAAAACAAGCATATTTATCCTGCGGAGCGGAAAGCCGTTGAGATGGCTTAATCATATGGCGAACCACGGCCTCTCGTCCGGTTAGCAATTCATGTCGGGTATGGGATTAGCCAGTTATTTGTTTTAGGAAGCATGGACTTGGTAGTGGAACCCAAACATATAGCATGATGCGCCACACCACCGAGCTTGCTATAAAGAAGTCAAAACAATATTATTTTAGTAGTGATTCATGATTCCCAAACAAATATTATTTTTTCGACTCCTCAGGGCTCAATTCTTGGACCAATACTTGGAGTGCTATAACTACCAGTCGCATTTTTTAGTTTTTTGTCTCAAAAAGTTGCTGCCAGATTTTCACAATTCAATTGAAGTGTACAAGATATAGGATAATAGATTTTGCATGTCAGATAATGTATCAGCAGGCAATTACAATTCAGATATCTCGCAATAGCTCTATGTTAATTATATTGGGCACAATGGTGCACAGTTTAACACAATGGATCAGGGGTTGAACACGAGTCTTTTGGCATAGCAAGTTAAAATTCTCCGCTTACTACCCCATGTTCACTCCGCTAACCAGGGTGTTATGAATAGAGTAGGCAGTGCGAACCAGAAAAATTCCTTCTGAACTGTGTTACTGCTCTCTACCTAGCAGTGGATGCCTATATAGAGCCTTGTTCGGGGTGTAAAGAGTATAAAACATTGCATAATAATATTTGCTCAATTCTCTCATTTTGACTTCAATATCGTACGGTGCCCTTCAGACGGCTCGGCGGTGTCGCGCATTATGCTAAGCCTCAGGAATACGCTCGCCACCGCATCTCTGATTACCCTTCGTGGGTTCGCAGGTTTGAATCACATGCGGGAATGATCATGTGCAAGAGGATTGCTGGACACCTCGCCACCGTAGGGTGATTCACTGAACCGCCGGTTGGATACGGCTTCCACCACCATCAAATCAAGTCCATGCTCACAAAAACAAATACCTGGCTAACTAACCCCATACCTGATCTGGACTGGTAACCAGACGAGAGGCCGTGGTTCACCATATGATTAAGCCGTCTTATCGGATTTTCTCTCCCCCGGGATAAATATGTAAATACTTCCTTCCTAAACTGACAACTTGTCAGGACGCCGGTGTTTTCCCGTAATGAGCAAGAAAAGTTTCTACTTTTAGGTCTCGTGTACTTTCGTACCGCAATAACTTCTAGTGGGCGTGGCACAACATTATTTTTATATGTCATTCCTAACCCCAACCTGACTACGTCATCCAGAAATTAAATTACTACGACGTCACATTGACGTAATAAAATCCGCCGAAATATACGGATAGTCGTCCAAAACGCGCAGACTATCAACCGTAGCCGAGCAAGCTATTTCTCCCGTTTTCGCGTCGCAACGATTCTGGTATGAGAATAATCGCCGTCGTTAGTAAAGTTTTTATTTTTATTTAACGTTTCCACAATGTGGATTAATCAATAATTAAAGAATAAATAAAATAATATAGTTTTTTTTTTAAATGTATACCAACGATACGGTAAAACTATTTCACTGTGATTGCAAAATCGACGGACAAGAATTCCACTTTGAAATCCCGTTGCCACGCGAAGCTAGCGCCACCAAGTTGCCGTTTTCATCGGTTGGTAACTTCGCGAAGAAACCTTTTGCGCATCCTTTGCCCCTAAATTCAACCTGATTGCCCATCAATTTGGATATACTTTCCCTAGAGATGATCTACTAACACATATATCAATCATGATGTTACATTTTCAATGCAACACCAGTTTTGAAGATTATTATATGAAAGGATTTAAATGTCCGAATTTATGCATTATTTATATTAAATATTCATACATAGAATAGATAGGCAGATGAAAAATGCCAAAACACCCACTTTGGCTATTTTTTGTCTAATATTTGTCTTACAGTTATTGCACACACAACTATCTTCTTCAGTTTCCATACCCAGGCACAATCTAACTTTGAGGCACACTTGTAAAAGGTTTACCGACCACGGACTTACTGACGTGGCATCAGACGTGTTGAGTCATCTTCTGACATTGGGAGTCGCTTGAAAATAATGATTGTAGTGAAACCATTCGAGGAAAACTCATTTAGACTGTTTTCTAGGCTTTTATTAACCTAAAGATCACTACTATACTAAAACAAGAAAAAGAACAAGTTACAAGATGTAGCAACCTTGACGCGCGCTAACCAAATAAATCCCAAGCTTTGCCACGCGACCATTAACATTTCATAGTGCTCGGCGATGGTGCCACGTTGGCCACATTAGGTGGCGCTAATTTAATTTCATCACAATGATACACGAAAACATGCGGATTTATCTATAGAGCATATCCACCACATTGGCGACATATACAGTACCTTTAATCGGCCAGGTTTCAACTCTAAACAAATATCGTCTTGTACTGCTTTATCAGCCATACTCTCTTTAACTTTGCCTGGTCAAACCTAACTACTCCCATATGCGACATGGACTGGTCACCGGACGAGACGACGTGGCTCGCCATATGATTAGGCCGTATTATCGACTCCCCCTCCCCCCCTCTGCTCCTTGGTATTCTCTTCTTAGCACCTTCTGTGAGAGACTGAATTGCACTTTGACAAATTTTCACAACACACTCAGTTTCAGCATAAACACTATTTATTTGGAGAACTTGGCCACACTGCGAAACAGAGAGAAAAATATGAATTCTGAACTGCAAATGGATATAATTCTTACAAGATATGAAGGCAATTGAATACAAATTGAATTTCCATCTCAAGAAAATAATGCAATTTTTTATTAGTATTGGAGAGCATGAGTTGTGTTTTCAAGCTCCCAGAAGTCTCGAAACGAATTAGATATATTTTAGAGTTGGTGGTAATTGGAATCAAATATGCTAAAGGTAACTAAAAAGCTTTGTGTGGCGGATTGTCTAACTAATCAGACAAATAATGAAGGTGAGCATAGGCCACATTTTTCATGGTCAAAATTGGGTGTTGAGTTGAAAATTGGATTCAAAAGGTAAAAATTTTCTTCATCTTGATCCAGATGCCGGAGTCAAAAAGATGGAGAGATGCCAAACAATTTTTATCAACAAGTCCAGGGGGGGGGGGGGGATTCATTTTCCCGGCTCAAAAGAGAGAAAAGATAATGATTTATTTGCAACATTTATTTGTAACATGGTCTATTGAGCAGATGCCATTCCATGTCAGGTAGACTTAAAGTAATTTGTAATACAATATAACATTTGCTCATAATGTATATGGTATAAATAATAATCAAATTATCCATCGCTTCAAAAAGAAAGAAAAAACAATCTCTCACAGCTTTTTAATCGCTTGAAATAATATCAATCAATCACAACAAATTGTTGAACTTGAGTTGCTTTGTGCTCATTGATGGAACATGTTCTACTCAAGTAATATCGTAAAGCAACTTTGGGAAAAAATAAATGAAAAATAAAACTAATCTACCAATCTCGTGATAATGTTATCAGATAAAATTGAAAATAGAGATGTTAATATTGTAACATACGATGTTTCCATACGATGAAAAAAAATTGTGGTCATATTCCAATTTTATTTCGAAAAATAACACTAGGGCTCATTTTGGGGAGATATCTTGAAAACCGATATCCAATTATCTAGATTTAGAATAGATAACACATTTTTATTTAAAAAAAAGTGCCAAACATTGATTATTCAAAATTATCATCATCTTCTGGAATATCTTGCTAGATTCATGTCAATGTCAAAAAAAATTTGCGCTATCAACTAGGTCTTATTTTAGCGGCTTATACTAAAATTATTCCTAAAAATTCAGGCTAAGTCTCATTTTCAGGGAAACACGGTAATGGTGCAAACTACTTTAATAAATATGAAGAATCTACTAGTAATGCTGTTTGTGTTGTTATATATCGCATATATGTCAGAGAAAGGAAAGCCGACAATATAGCCCAACCATAACCTATCAACCATTCAAATTTCTGGTCTGGCATAGGGGTAAGTGCTCCTGTAGTATGTGTACCAGGTTAGGGTAGGGTATATTCACTTGGCTAACACAGACAGTTCAGAACTTGTGATAGAACTGAAAAAAGGGAAATCGCAATAAAATTATGGCCTAATCTGGCACACATACTACAGGAGAATTCATAAATTATAGTATATTAGGCATTATAGTAATATTGATATTGCAAAATGTAATTGGAAGCATTTATAAAAGTGAAAAATAAATCAAAATTGCTTCATCCCAAAATGTGTAACAATTTCTGAATTAGGTTTTAAATTAAGGTGCAGCGAAAGTCAGGTCGTATAATGATTGGGAACTCGAAAAATTAGACAAAAACTATGTGTTCATAAATCCATGTTGCTCATTATCGAACAGTTTGGTAATGTAGATTTTCTTATTTCATTCATTTTAAATAATCTAGATGGATTAATTTTTGATCAGAATTATGACGTAGGTTTTTAAGTGTAATAATTCCATTGACAAAAAATTACCAAATTTTATAAGAAAAAATTCAAATATCTGACTTATAAATCCTTTTCAATGATTTAAATTGGGATTTCCATTCTAACTAAATTCTCCTATTACAGTAATTTTGATTTAACTAATTTATGAAGATTTACTTTCGACAGAATTATGATTCATGTCGAATTTTAATCTGTGTAAATTTTATTGCGATTATTCCACTTATAAATATACATGAAATTGTTCAACATCTCTTGACATATTCGTTCAATAGTTTTTAATCGTTAATTTCGTTCAAAATATATTCTACGGACTTTACATCATATTTATTTGAAACGACAGTGTTCAAAATATTGATACTTTGCTATTATTCAGCAGATGCTTAGATCAGTGGTTCACAACCAGGGACCAGTTGGAGG